GTTTTTTAAAAATATATGAAAATTAAAAATTGTTTTTTAAAAAATTTGGCTTTAAAAAAATTATTTAAATTTTTATAATTGGTTTTTAAAAATTGTTTCAGGAGGATGATAAATCTGCTCTATATTATTTACTCTATCTTTATTGGAAGCAGAAGTCCACTAGGTTTTTTGTACCTCCCCCACTTTTTAAAAAAAAATTTTTATTAGTTATTGATGGACCTTTATTCATTTATTTGTTTATACGTGGTGCTGAGAATCGAACCCAATGCCTCACACATGCTAGGCAAACGCTCTACCACTAAGCCACAACCCCAGCCCCTTTTTAAAAAAAATATTTATTAGTATTAAAGTTGTATTTTAATATTTATTTTTTAGTTGTAGTTGGACACAATACTTTTGTTTTATTTATCTATTTTTATGTGGTGCTGAGGGTAGAACCCAGGGCCTCGCAAGTTCTAGGTGAGCGCTCTACCACTGAACCATAACCCCAGCTCCCTGCCACCTTTTTAATAAAAACATTTTGTCATCCATCTGTGAAACTTACTCTTCACTCTGATATTTACTTTTCCAGATTGGGCCCAGATGCTCTCTTAAATGTTTGCACAAGACCTTTATCATTGTATTTTCAGTCCAAGAACATGATACTTGTCATTCAAAATCAATATTTTCAAATATGTCCTTAATTTTGTCTACTTGAATCTATATTTACTCTTCCAATGTACATTTGTCCTTTTTATCAATAAATATCAAGCTTAGTCTATACTTACTTTCTTTCTTTGGTCACTTTTATTTAATCCTCAGCCCTGTGAAATTTGGTTTCTACTGAAACTACTCTTGCTGTTGTCACTGGTAACTATACAATTTCTAGTTGTACTGTATTCTTTTCAGTCCTTATTTGATTGTACCTCTCTGTGTTATTTCATACTGGTTGCGGCTTTTCCTTATTTCTTGTTATAGCACACTTTATGGATTCTTTTCTATCTGATTTTAACTTCTTAGTCAACTTTATGGGTCATTTCCACTGTTCACATATTCAACCTTGGTATTCCCAAATATTTTTCAACTTCTTTTGCCTTCACTTGCATGCTTTATTTATTTTTTTTTTTTGTAGTTCATTCTTTCCCTTTGGGTTCAGCTACTATCCTTGAAAACTTGAAACAAGTCTGAGTCTCTATTGGGATTTCACAAAGGTACTTTATTTAAAAAAAATTTCCCCTTTATTCTTGTTTTTTTGTCATTGTTGTTGTTCTTTTTCTTAGTTGTACATGGCAGTAGAATGTATTTTGACATATTATACATACATGGGATATAATTTCCCATTCTGGTGGTTGTATATGATGTGGAATTACACTGGTTGTGTATTCATATATGAACATAGAAAAGTTATGTCTGATTCATTTTACTGTCTTTCCCCTCCCTTCCTCTTCATTTCCCCTTTCTCTAATCCAGTGAACTTCTCTCCTCCCCTCCATTGTTTGTTATCATCTACATATCAGAGAACTTTAGGGCTTTGGATTTTTGGGATTGGCTTATTCTCTCACCGTGACAGTCTTCATTTCTATCCATTTACCAGCAAATGCCACAATTACATTCTTCTTTATAGCTGAATAATAGTCCAGTGTATATATTTTTCATATTTTATATTTAAAATATAAATATTTTATATTCCATTCATCTGTTGAAGGGCACCTAGGTTGGTTCCATAGCTTGGCTATGGTGAATTGAGCTTATACATATCGATGTGGCTGTGTCAATATAGTATGCTGACTTTAAGTCCTTTGGGTATAGACCAAGGAGTGGGATAATTGGGTCAAATGATGCTTCCATTCCAAGTTTTCTGAGGAATCTCCATAGTGCTTTCCAGAGTGGTTGCACCAATTTGCAGTCCCACCAGCAAGGTATGAGTGTACCTTTTTCGCCCACATCATCATAGTTACTTGTATTCTTGATAACTGCCACTCTGACTGAAGTTAGATGAAATCTCAGTGTAGTTTTAATTGGTATTTCTCTGATTGCTAGAGATGTTGAACATTTTTTTCATGTATTTGTTGACCGATCATATTTCTTCTGTAAAGTGCCTGTTCAGTTCCTTTGCCCATGTATCGATTGAGTTATTTATTTTTTATTTGTATTTTTTTTGTGTTGAGTGTTTTGAGTTCTTTATATATCCTGGAGATATCTGAGGTACAGGTTGCAAGGATTTTTCTTCCATTCTGTAGGCTTTCCCAGAAGTACTTTATATTTAATATATGAAAAATATAACTTGCCTCTTATTTTTTTAAAGTTGCTTTTCTGTAGTCTGTCTTGTGTCTGGCACTGCTATAATCAGTCCCTCACTCAGGCTAGAACCAGGAGTGCTATCTTAGACTCTTTTCCCCAAATTCCAGATCTATTTTAGTTTTACAAATATTAGATCTTTAATATTTTAAAATCCATCCTACAGAGAGTGTTTCCAGTGATGATGGCAGAGTGAAGTGGTCTCCTGAACCTTCCCACAGAAAATAATGATAAAATCTGTTTAAAAAAGAAAGTATCTCAAGGACTGGAAAGCATCCAAAAGCAGACAGAAGCAAGGGGAAAGAAAGTATAATTTTGAAAAATGGCAACTGGAAGTGATTAGAATTATGAATTTGCAGCTTTAAAAATTTTTTTTTTTTTGCCTGAGGGCATTCATCGACCTCCACAGCAGAGAAAAGTGGCACAGGAAAACCCCAGCTTTGCTTCCTTAAGGTGGTCAAGAACAGAGTTCCCAATATAAAAAGTACCTGGAAATTTAGCAGAAGGACCTTATAAATAAAAGCCACAGAGGAGGGTGAACCCATAACTGACTATAAACTAAAATCCCTGGCTGAACCTCTAAACTATACCTGGATGGGGAGACTCAAGAGGCCTGGTGAAAAAGCAGGCAGAGGTCAGAAAGGCAGAGTTCTGTCTTTGAAGGATAGAACCTTTGAAAGACAGAACACCAGGTGAGCTCTGTGAATTTACTGCTTTTTGTACTGAGTGAACTAACCATGGGACTTTTTAAAGTTAGTCTTAGTTGTTTTTAGTTAGTTTGAACTAACCATGGGAAATTAGCTGGCAGAAATCTAAAGCTTTATGAGCTTGAGGTATCTGTCAGAAGACAGAATCTTAGGCTGAAAAATTAGGGAAGAAAGTTCAGCTAGGACAGGCCCCAAATAATCTCTGGCCAAATTGTTGGCTAGTTAAGTTATCAGTAACACAGGCTGACGTGTAGGAACCAGGTTGAAAAAGCAGCTGTAGGGCTGAGGATGTGGCTCAAGCGGTAGCTCGCTTGCGTGGCATGCTTGAGTCCCGGGTTCGATCCTCAGCACCATATACAAAGATGTTGTGCCCGCCAAATACTAAAAAATAAATATTAAAATTCTCTCTCTCCACCCCCCCCTTTTTTTTTTTTTAAAAAAAAAAGCAGCTGTAAAGAATTACACAGAAATAGCAGTTGTTGAACACTGCAGGAGGGACAAAGCTTATAGTTTATATGTTACTTGCCTACTAGGGAAACCCCCAACAATTCCAAAGAAAATACAATAGAATCCAGAACTACTGCATATTTCAGACAGAATGTCTTGTATTCAGCCAAAATTTATTAGACATGCAAATGATCAGGAGAGAGCAAACATACGCAGGCACAAAAGGCAGTCAATAGAAAAATACCTCCAAGTTGACTCAGATGTTGGAATATGTAGTCAAGTAGCTACTGTAGGGCTGGGGTTGTGGCTCAGTAGTAGAGAGCTTAACTTCACATATGTGAGGCACTGGGTTCGATTCTCAGTACCACATATAAATATGAACAAAATAAAGATATGCTGAGGGCCATTACCAAGTAGGAATGACGCATCGAAATTTCCTTGCCAAGCGTACCCCATGCTGCTTAGAGGACATTCGATGGGACATTGCATGCATGCTTTAATAAGGTGACCTTGCTCAAGGACCAAGGCGGATCCGGGTTTAGAGCTGATCAGGTTTGAGGAAGTAACCGGCTCCTTGAGTTTAAGGTGTTGCCAGTTTAAGATAATGGGTTTTAGGGAAGTTGGCTGTTGAAGATTATTGCTGGGATTAGGGTGTTCCTGCTGCTTGTTCCCATTGAGTTCTCATGAGATTAAAATGGGATTTGGAGAGAGCCTCGTGGAGTAGGTGAATTGTGCGGGAGACGGGAGAACGCAATTGCCCCTGGACCTGTGTGGAGGTGGTGTGAGAGCTGGAATAAAGAATTGCTGTTTGAACCTACAAAGCTGTGTGGTGCCTCCTGAATCTTGTGCCAAGCCGAGACCTTGGCATTTTGGTGGTCCGTACGAGGGATGTCTGAAGCTTGGGGGTAAGTGAATTTGCTCACTCCTGAAGGAGAGCAAAAAAATGGGTGACCATTTCAAAAAACAACGTGTTCTGGTTTTGATTTATTTTGTTTTTATTTCAAGTTGCCTGTTCCTAGAACTTTCTCAGGCAAACTGGGGAAAATGGTTGACTCAAGGTTTGAATTTGTTCACCTCTGAGGAAGAGAAATTGTTAGAGAAAGGAGGCACCCCAGTAAGACCAAGAACAGCTAGGGCATATACACCAACAACTAAAATTTTTTTTTAAACGTAGCTACTGTATACATATATTCAGAGAATGAAAGGAAATTGGTTTTAGTGAGTGAACAGATAAGGGACTTTTAAAAAAAGAAATATGGGATAATTTTATAAACGGGAAATTGAAAACAAGAGGACTTCAGCAAGAAGGCGCGGGGCGGGGGCAGAGGTGAGCGGCGCTGGGCCCGGGCGGCAGCCGGCCTTCCTCCTGCGCTGCGTGCCCTTGACAACCCATTCGTAGGCGCTTTTCCCTCCCCGACCGTGGGGTCGTCCTGGTAGAGCTTTGGCCCTGGTGGGCAACGGGCGTTTCACCTTCCTGAGCCGGAATTGCCCGGAGCACTGCGGGGCGAGCGCCTCTGCGTTCAGACAGGCTCGTGGCCCAACTAGCAGGTCCTTGTTTCCCAACAGGTGCGACCCTGACCGCCCATGCCCGCGGGCACCGGGAGGCCGGCCTCCCCCAGGGCCTCCACCTGTGCTGGCTCTTCTGCACTTTCGCTTTCACCATAGAGCTCTGCCAGCAGAGGCTTCGGTGCGGGAGGAGAAGCAGTCAGTGAGCACCTGACTGGGAGAAGAGTTCGTGGTCGCAGAAGAGTGTACTCCATGTCCCAGTTTTCAGGCTAAAACCATCCCTGAGTGTGGTTCCACAGGTTATGATGAGAAAATTACATGCAGCTCCTCTAAGAGAAATGAGTTCAAAAGCTGCCGCTCAGCTCTGATGGAACAACACTTATTCTGGAAATTTGAAGGGGCTGTGGTGGGTGTGGCTTTGGTCTCCGCATGCCTTGTCATCATCCTTCAGCGACAACTGGACAGAAAGGCTCTGGAAAAGGTCCGGAAGCAAATTGAGTCCATATAACTACATTCCACCCTTTTATCCTGGATCTTACAGACCATATCTCAGAGAAAGAGAAATGGGACTGATTTGCGCCTTTGGTTCTTAGGCATCTTGTGGTGGTAACCCCTTCTCCCCATCTTCCTCTCCATGTCATTAATAAGCACAATAAAAAAGAGTAAGTTAAAAAAAAAAGAAGGGGTTGGTAATTTTATTGTAAAAAAGAAACAAATATAAAACTGAGGCAAAACCAAATATTTCAGGGCACTAGAAATAAAATGAAGCGGGCTGGGGATGTGGCTCAAGCAGTAACGCACTCCCTTGGCATGCGTGGGGTACTGGTTTTAATCCTCAGCACCACACACAAAATAAAATAAAGATGTTGTGTCCACTAAAAATTAAAAATAAATATTAAAAAATTCTCTCTCTCTTTAAAAAAAAAAAAAGAAAAGAAAGAAAATGAAGCCCTGGGTGCCATGGTGAATGCCTGTAATCCCTGTAATCCCAATGACTGAGGCAGGAGGATTGCAAATTCAAGACCAGCCTCAGTAATTTAGTGAGACTCTGACTCAGAAAAGAAGGATTGGGGTTGGAGCTCACTGGTAGAGTGCCTTTGGGTTCTGTTCCCAGAACCCTGGGGGAGAGAGGGAAGAAGTGATACCAGTCTTGCAGATCAGATCTTGAAGTTCAGGAACTGGTCCTTGTTTCCCTGGTGTTGAAGTTTAAACACTTGAGAAATGCTGAGGCAAGCATGGAAAGCAAGTTTTATTTAAGAAAAAGGGTAACAACAGAATTCTCCAAAGAGAAGGGAGCCCAGAGCTGGGTGTCTTCTGAGTGGGACACCCAGAATCCCCTTTTGAATCATTGCCTTCTCTTTCTTCTCTGTGTACTTGCCTGAGGGCATGAAGAAGCAGGAGCACAAGGGCTAACTGTTAGCAACCCATCTGTCTGACTGTCTGTCTGTCTGTCTGTCTATCTATCTAGTGCTGAGGATCGAACCCAGTGCCTCACACTTGCTAGGCAAGCACTCTACCACTGAGCCACAACCCCAACCCACAGCGGGCTCATTTTATAGAATTATTCTCTTAACTTCGTGTTCCCACCATTCTCATCTATCTGCCCCCTTATGTAAGCAGCAGAAACAAATTAAAAAGTATTTATTATTAAAAAGCTGGTAATGCTTTGAGTGAATACAGTGGGAGTCAATGGTTATTTTCCTAGGGTTTCTCCCACCTGTCCCTATCTCCATTGTCTCAGCTCTGGTAACTAGAATGGTGGTTTTACCAGTTTTGCCCAACTGTGAAAGTAACAACTTTCTTGCCAGAGGGAGCTGACTTGGTTTGGAGTAGATGGTGGAAAATCACAGCTTTGCCAACTGAAAGTGGCAAACTTGGTTAGAATCAAATGGGTAGAATCCATGGCTTTGCTGGCTAGAAGTTGTAGTGCCTTTTGGGGTGGTGGAGTGGTGGACCTGCCAGAAACATTAGAGAAATTCCTGAAAAAAAAGAGCCAGAGATAAACATTCCACATATTTCTTTCTGGATTATTAAGAAACTACCTGCGGGCTGGAGCTGAAGCTTAGTGGTAGAGCACTTGCCTAGCATGCATGAGGCACTGGGTTCAATCCCCAGCACCACATACACAAAAAATAAAAAAAAACCCCAAAAACCCAACAACAACAACAAACAAAATAAAGGTATTGAGTCCATCTACAACTAAAAATATTAAAAAAAGAAAAGAAACTACCTGCATGTGAAGAGAGATCCAAGAATGTCTAATAAAAAGGAAAACTTAGGGCATACTTGAGAATTGGCTGCAATTTTGAATGCATTCCTCAAGCAACAGTGGATTAACAGAGACATACTTTATGGGCTTAAGATATATAAGCAACCTCTGCTCAAATTGTTAGCTGATTAGTAGTGAACTATGCAGATGCAGGGATGCTTCCCTAGGCAGCCAGGCTAAAATTAAACAAAACATAACAAAAAACTGAGTAGTGACATCAAATGCAACATACTATGGGAAAGTCAGATTCTGACATTTAAGTACAGGCAATTTACTAAAAAAATCAATAGCCCATCAAAAAACACAATCTAGAATTGCTACAATATATGATTGAAAATATCCAGTTTTCAACCAGATAGTATGAGACTTGTAAGGAAAGAATCAGAAAAGTGTGACCCATATTCAGGGGGAAAAATTAGTAGAAAAGAATTCTGTATGGGCCTCACCATTAGATCTATTCAGAGAGTTCAAGGTAGCTGTTAAAAAATGTTACCATTTGGGCTAGGGACATAGCTAGTTAGTAGAGTGCTTACCTCATATGCACAAGGCCCTGGGTTCAATCCCCAGCACCATACACATACACAAAAACAAACAAACAAAAAAAACACCTTACCCTCTAGGGATGCAGGGTTCATTGTCTCTGTTCAAGAATTGAAGAACAGGACACAGAGGTAACAAGTAAGAAATAGGTTTATCACAAAGGTGACAGAAAAACAGAGGCAGACTTCTCTTAAGAGAAGGGGCTCCAGAGCTGAAAATCTAGTGGGGGGAGTCTTGTTCTTTTTATGGTCTCTGGAATTTCCTCCTTTCCTCATCTCCTCCCCTGTCCTTGTGCTCCTCCCTCTTATTGATTGGTTAGTTTTTCTGTTGGATCCCCCTTAGGAGCACTAGTATGGAAGTGTCTGTCTGATTAGGTCCCCCACTTGTGTCCATAAGCCCTTTCGCCAAGCAGGAATTGACCTCATCAGAAGCTCCTTTCCTGCTCCTCACTCACTATCTTGACCTGGCTACCCAAGCCCTTCTATATCTCCCTCAAAAACATGTTTTAAAAAATTAAACAATGGTCAGAGTTTTAAAGGAAAATGATATGATAGTTACTTAAATAAGGAACTAGCTCTAACCACTTTTCTTTAACATCATATTAGAAGTCCTAGCTGTTAGCACCAAAAGACTGGCTGGATGCAAACTTCATGGATCATCTCAGCCTTTTATTCAGGAACGGTATTACACCTCCAATAGACCCACTCTCTTGGTGGAAAATGAGCCATTGGCCAAAGGAGGAGTTTGGGTTTATATAGATTATACTGAGAGGTGTTTTTGTGAGCATGTCAGTTTGGGCACTCAGAAATTTGGATTTTGGGGTTGGGGATGGGTGGCCAGCATGGAGAGGATTTATCTTGGAAAAGATTAGTGTTTCACAGTTACTGTCATTCTAGGTTTGATGAAATACTTTCTCCCCACTTGTGGCCAGCATCTGAAAAGGATTTATTTTGGAAGAGATGAAAGATATCAATGTATGGCTTTCTTTTTCACTCCCTTTTCCCAGGCAGCACTATTTTGGGTTTTTTTATTTTCCTTATCTAACACTAGCCAATGTGACCATGCAATAAATATAAATGAAGGAAATACAGATTTGACAGGAAGAAGCAAAACTTCCTTTATTCATAGATAATATGATTTTATACCTAGAAAATGTCAGGAAATCTACATAAAATTTAGCAAGATTGTAGGATATAAGGTCAGTATACAAAGATGAATTGTGTTTACTAACAATGGGCAGTTGGGAGTTGGAGTTTAAAAATGTATTAAAGCATCCAAAAAACCTAAAATACATAGGAATAACTCTAACAAAATATATGCAAGAACTATATACTGAAAATTAACTACAAAGCACTGCTGAGAGAAATTTGAGAACTAAATAAACAGAGAAGTTATCAAAATGAGTCTATTAGTGTTCCCTTCACCTCCTCTCCACTTCCTCTGAAATTTCAGCATGTTACCTATTTTGGGAATAGTGAGTTTGTAAATGTAATTAGCTAAGTGTCTTCTGATGAAAGGGTGGGCTCTGAATTCAATGACTGGTGACTTTACAAAAGAAAGGAAAGGGAGATTTGAACCAGCTGATCAAAGGGTAGAAGACTCTGTGAAGATGGGGGCACAGGTTACAGTTGCTTTGTTACAAGCCAAAGTCAAGGAATGCTAAGAGCATTTGGGAAAACATATTTGTAAGAAGCAAAGGAATACCCCAGAGAGAGGAGTATGGCCCTGCAAATACCTTGATTTTAGACTTCTGGTCTCCAGAACTGTGATAAATTTCTTTTGTTCTAAAGCTACCAAGTTTGTGGTAATTTGTCATGGGAGCTCTAGGGAACTGATACAACTGTGTACTGGATTGGGACCTAGAATAATCAAAACAATTTTTTTTAAATATTTTTTTTTTAAGAGAGAGTGAGAGAGAGAGGGGGACAGAGAGAAAGAGAGAATTTTAACATTTATTTATTTTTTCTTAGTTCTCGGCGGACACAACATCTTTGTATGTAGTGCTGAGGATCGAACCCGGGCCGCACGCACTTTAGGCGAGCACTCTATCACTTGAGCCACATCCCCAGCCCCTAATCAAAACAATTTTGAAAAAGAACAACAAAGTTTGAGGACTTAACTAACTGTAGGACTTGCTATAAAAACCAAGTATTCAGGGCAGTGGTATTAGCATGAAAATAGACTAAATAGATAGAACAAAGTAGAGTCCAGAGGTGCTTAACCAGTGAGCCACATCCCCAACCCTTTTTATTTTTTATTTTGAGACAGGGTCTCACTAAGTTACTTAGGGTTTAGCTAGTTGCTAGTGCGTTCCTGAATTTGCAATCCTGCTAGCCTGGCTGGTGGAAAGGGTAATCTTTTAAATGGTGCTAGAACAGTTGGATATTGATAAACAACTAACAACAACAACAACAAAAATTTGACCCTTACCTATTACAGTACAGCAAGAGTAGTTCAAACGGATCATAGACCCAAGTTTAGGAGCTAAAACTATAAAATTTGTATAACACAAGAGAAAAATTTTATCATCTTGGTTTGGAAAAAAAATTCCTAGATATGTCACTAAAATCATGAACCATTAAAAAAGGTGGCAAATTTGGGGCTGGGGCTGGGGCTGGGGCTGGGACTCAGTGGTAGCGCACTTGCCTGGCATGTGAGGTGCTGGGTTCAATTCTCAGCATCACATATAAATAATAAAATAAAGGTCATCAACAACTAAAATTATATATATATATATATATGGTGGTAGATTAGAACTCATTAAAGTTAGAAATTTTTGTGAATTAAAAGATAATGCTGCGGGCACATGCCTATAACTCCAGCAACTTTGGAGGTTAAGGCAGGGATCACAAGTTTAAAGCCAGCCTCAGCAATTTAGCAAGGCCCTAAGCAACTTAGCAAGACCCCATCTCAAAAAAAAAAAAAAAAAAAAAAAAAAGTGTTGTGGCTCAGTGGATAAGCACTGCTGGGTTCAATTCCTACTACCAAAAAACAAAAACAAAAACCCAAAGAACCCCACCAAACAATAAAAGATAATGCTAACAAAGTAAAAAAGCAAGTAACAGTTTGGGAAAACATATTTGTAAGTTCCATGTATGACAAAGGATCTGTTTGTAGAATATATAAAGAGTTGTTATTATAACTTAGAAAACTAATAACCCATTTTAAAAATGGACAAAATATATGAGCATATAGTCCATTAAAAATTATACAGATGTCCAATAAATACATGAAAAATTGATCAGTGTGATTAATCATTGGGAAAATGCAAATCAAGAAATCAAAACCACAATGGAATGCTACTACAACCTCTAAAATGACTAAAATTAAAAAGGCTTCCAAAGCTGAACATGGTGGTACACTTCTGTAATTCCAGTGATTTGGGAAACTGAGGTAGGAGAATTGCAAGGTTGAAGGACATAATTGGAGTGTTCAAACTGTTGGTGGCTATCTAATGTTACAACAACTTTTAAAACTATTTAGCAATCTAAAAAAAAAAAAGTTAAAGGTACACTTTCCCTATGACTGAACATTCTACTCCTAAGTATTTACCTAAGAGAAATGAAAGGACAGGTCTATAAAAAGACTTGCTGGGGAATGGCTATGGTTCCTCAGTTCATAATAAGCAAAAAACTAGAACCAATCAGATATCCATCTATACACTAATGAATAAAATATGTTCAACATTATTAATATCCATGAAAATACAAATTAAACCATGTTAAGATATCACTTTATGACCACTACAATGACAAGAAATAAAAGGACCAAGAATACCATGTGTTGGTGAAGTTGTGAGCAGCTAGAACTCTAAAGCATTGCTGGTAGAAATGCAGAATGATAAAGCAGCCTTAGATAACAGTTCCCAGGTTCTTAGAATGTTAACCATGCCCTTATGTATATAATCAGCAATTCTACTTCTAAATATTTAACCAAGAGAAATTAAAAGATGTTTGCAGAAAGATCTGGGTTCAAACATAGCAGCTTTACTTATGATAGCTGAGAACTGAAAACCACTTAACCTCCATTGATAGATGAATGGAAAACAAAAATTGAAACAATAAAAGAGTGTGCTATTGATATAAACAATACCATGGATGAATCTCCAAAACATGTTGAGGGAAAGCAGCCAGAAACAAAAATAGTGTGTATATGGTTCCTTTTATAGAAATATAAGAAAACCCCAACTAATCTTAGAAAACAAATCAGTGGTTGCCTGAACCTGGAAGTAGAGGCAGGAATTTACTGAAACGGGTATGAATGAACTTTTGGGGCTGATAGAAATGTACTGTTTCTTAATTGCGGTTAAGTGGGTATACACATTTTTGAAAAGATTGACTGTATACATTTGAAATGTGTGCAGTTTAGTTTTGAATTATGTTTCCACTGAGTTGATTTTAAAAAGTAATATTCTACCACCCTTGTAGTCACCCATCATTTCTCATTTGGATGACTGCAGTACACTCCTGAGTGGTATTTCACTACAATCATGGGTTGTATTCCTGCTGTTGCTTTACTTCTCAGACCCATACAGGACAATGTGACCTTTCACTTCCCTGCTCACACTCTTTAATTGCTCACCAGGCTGCCTCTTTAACCTGGCCTGTAGCCTTCTTCTGTGGCCCTTGCCTATCTTTCTAGCTCATCTTCCATTACCTCCTGCTTCTTACTTTGCTTTTGGCTCTCAGTTCCCAGAACAGACCATGCTAATTTCATTTCTTGTGCCCATACTCATTATCTCCCCTAAGCCTTTTGTTTAGTAAACAACTTTATCCTTTAAAACCCAGCTTAGGACTCTCCTTATCTAAGATATGTTTTTCTTTTGTAAAGATTATCCTTCATGCCTTCCCTCTCTCCAAGAGAGAAGAGGTTAAGTAGCTTCAGATAGTTTCTTTGGTTCATCATAACTTTTTTTTAAAATATGTATTTTTTATAACTTCATTTTATTTATTTATATTTTAATGTGGTGCTGAGGATTGAACCCAGTGCCTCATGTATGCTAGCAAGTGCTCTATCCAGCCCCAGTTCATCATAACTTTTATAGATATATTTACTATTTTAGCTTATTATATTTTTAGTTTTTACTCTGCTGCTTATTGAACACAATAATTAAGTTTTATTTTTATTTTGGATCTACATTGCCTGTTCCATAATAAGTATATTGGAAATATTGATTATAAATGTTAAGAAGACTGAGGTATATACATAGTATTGTTATTATTATTCTTTTATTTTAAATAAAAACTCTTCATAGAGAAGAACTGAAGCTGGGCATGTAATTCCAGTGGCTAGGGGCGCTGAGGCAGGAGGATCTCGAGTTCAAAGCCAGCCTCAGCAAAAGCAAGGCGCTAAGCAACTAAGGCACTAAGTGAGACCCTGTCTCTAAATAAAAATACAAATCAGAGCTGGGGATGTGGCTCAGTGGTCGAGTGTCTCTGAGTTTAATCTCCAGTACCAAAAAAAAAGGAACTGAGTCTGAGTATGGTGACACATGCTTATATCCTAGCTGTTCAGGAGATCAGAGGATTGCAAGTTCCAGCCCAACCTGGGAAATTTAGTGAGACCTTGTATCAAAATAGGAAATTAAAAGGACTGGTGATGTAGCTCAGTGGTAGAGAAACTTCAATTCAATCCCCAGTACCAGGGAGAAAAAAATTAATAAATCTCTCAGTATTTTTCCTTTCTTTCTCTCCCCCCCCCTTTCTTTCTTTTTTTTTATGTGTGTGTGTATGGTTCTGGAGATTGAACTCAGGGCCTTGTGCATGCTAGGAAAATACTCTACCACTAAGCTACAGCCCCAGATTTTATATCAACATTTTAAACAGTGTTTTTCTTTGGGTAGTATGGTAATTTTCCATTTCTGCAACAGAATACCTGAGATAATCAAAAGTTGAAAAGATTTATTTTTGGCTCAGTTTTAGAGGTCATTTGGTTCTCTTGTTTGGGCCTGTAGTGAGGCAAAGCATTAATGGTGAGGAATATGTGGTAGAGCAAAGCTGCTCACCTCATGGCAGCCAGGAACCAAAGAGAGGGAGAGAGGAAGGGGTCAGGGACACAATATAACCTTCAAAGACATTCTCCCAATGACCTATTTCCTTCAACCAGGCCCTGCTTCCTAAAGTTTCCACCACCTCCCAGTAGTGCCACCAGCTGGGGACCAAATTTTCAACACATGAGCCTTTGGGGGATATTCCAGATCCAAACTATTAACAGATAGTGAGATTTAATTCTTTAATATTTTTTACATTTTTTGCATTTTCAGGATATCATTTAACATACTATTATTTCATGAGCTATAACCTGAGAAACTAACATTTGCTGACTCAAATTATTTTTTACATTTTTTTAGGTCCAGAAGGCAGTTACAGTTTCCAGTCCCTTAACCACAGACCTGACTACAGAGATTGCTGGTCAGCCAAAGAATGTATCAGTCCAACCTGAAACAACAGAGGATCCTGGAATTATAGCCAGCACTCAGCAAATAAAAAGTCCTGGGAAAATCCAAACTGCTATCCCTCTTCCAGTGGCTCCCTCCTATATTCATACAACTCCTACCCCCCAGGCTTCCTTCCAGAGCACATCAGCACCATACCCAGGTGAGGACCTATGATCCTGCCCTTGGAAATAGGATAGAAAAGTGAAGCATTCAGTCCAAATATTCAGTTCTCTCTGCTTTTAATTGATTTGAGTATATATATATATATATAACCAGAAATAGAATTACTGGATGACTTGATAATTCTACTTTTAGTGGAATTTTTTTGTTTATTTGTTTTGTTTTAATACTGGTGATTGAACCCATGGTGCTTTACTACTGAGCTACATCCTCAGCCTTTTTACTTTGTATTTTGAGACAGCATCTCACTAAGTTGCTGAGAGCCTCGCTAAGTTGTTGAGGCTGGCCTCAAACTTGTGATCTCCTGTCTCAGCCTCCCAAGGCACTGTCATTATAGGCATGTGCTACCATGCCCGACAAAAGCATCTTTATTTTTAAAACAACCCATGGGAAGGATATCTAGTGTTACCTTAACAAGTCTGTGCTTCAGGAGTACTGCTCTAAGGTATTAGGAGGAAATGCTTAATCACTGGTTAATGGTTAATCCTGAAAAAGTCAAGAGGGTAAAGCAAAGCAGTAAAAATACATTTTTGCCAAATTTTAATTTCCTAGGGTCTTCTTTGGTGGTAATGTAATGTGAAATTTTACGGTTTCAATCCTGAGGTACCAAAGTAATTTTCAGTTTAATTGTAAAGGATTTGGGTTGTACTGCCTTAACTAGCCATTTTTTTGTTCATTGTACTCTCTCTGAGTATAATGATTTTCCTTTTTTCTTTTCTTTTTTGAAAAGTTACTTTAGAGAGCTCTTATTCCATCTCCTGGGGCCATCCAGAGGCTGCAGCTTCCATAAAAGATGGTTTCATTTTTCTCTCAGTGCAATGTTCCCAAGCAGAGGCAGATAAATCTCAAGTTTTATATATCTAGGAAGCCCTTCTCACCTCCCAGTCTTGAAATATGAGTTGACCAGCCTGTTGTTTTCTTTAAGCTGTCCTAGTGTTGAAGTGTCATACCAAATGAACAGTTACTGTCAGAGAAGAAATAAGATTTATATATTCAGTAGTTTTCAACGGTCTGCAAGCATTTTTGGTTGTTACAACTGGTGGGTGGGTGGTACTATTTTTTAAAATTTCTTTTTTGCGTGCACTTTTATTCATTTTTTAAAAAAAATTTTTGTTGTTGTATAGACTGAATACTTTTATTTATTTATTTATTTTTATGTCATGCTACTGAGGATTGACCCAGTGCCTCACAGGTGCTAGGCAAGTGCTCCACCACTGAGTTACAGCTCCAACCCCCTGGGTGGTACAATTGACATGTAGTAGATAGGGGCCATTGTTACTGGGAACCATCATAGACAGTGTTTAGGAAATCCTCCTATCCCCAGCAAAGGATTTTCTGGTTTGGAATACCAATAATGCCAAATTTGGAAAACCTTGACATAAGCGAAATGGCTGATGAATGGTATAAGAACAGTTTTAGCTATTTACAGTCTTGGGTGTTCCAAGTGCTAAAGCAATTCAAGAACTAGATCAGTTGAACTGAAATGGTCTGGGAAGATTTGTTGGTGACAGTTTAAAGCTAGAAACAAAATGCTGTATTTAGAATACAGAAAGGCAAACATCCCAATTAAAAATAGCTTTTGTAAAGTCCCCTGGAGTAGATCATGGCTTCTGTGGAGCACAAAAAGAAAAAATAGTGTAACTTAGAGGCACAGTTGGATAGGAAAGGTAAGTCTGTGAGATCAGATCATGATGGCCCTATAGGGCCAAGATAGAAGTTTGGCTTTAACATGGTGTGGGAGCAGGGTTCTTAAATAGGAGAGTAACATGGTGGGTGAGTATTTTAGGAAAACAGAATGGATTCAAGTGGGGAGAGAGCTAGGAGAAGGGAGACCAGTAATAACTAGAATGGAGAGAAAGTAAGACAGGCCTTGTGACTAACATTCATCTTTCTTATTTATATATCTTATTAAAAAGTTATTTATCAACATAAAAGTGATCCTTGAAACAGAATTTGAACTCTGTGGAAAATATTGTATAAAGAGGACTTAGGGACAGGCCATAATTAAAATATAGTGCGGAAAAAGAAGCAGGAGGAAAGTAGGATACAGTATGATGATAACCAAGAACTTTTAAGAGGGAGAAAGCAGGAATAGGTGCCTCCAAGGTGATGGTAGAGATTGGGTTACAGTTGTTAGATTTACTCAGCAGCCACTTGTTGATGATCTTGAGATCCTTTTCAATGGAAAGGTAGAGACAAAATCAAACTTCAGGTGGTAAGAGAGTAGAAAGATATTAGGAAATGAAGGCCATAGCTGAGTATTATTCAGGAAAGGTGTTTGATCACAAAGGAAGGAGAAAAATGGCACAATCTGGATATATTTCTTATCTCTGGTATTTTTATTTTTTTTCTAGTTATAAAGGAACTTGTGGTATCTGCTGGGAAGAGTGTCCAGATGACCCTGCCTAAGAATGAAGTTCAATTAAATGCATATGTTCTCCAAGAACCCCAGAAAGGTAAAAATCCCTTTACACTTGGGTTACATTTCTGATTACAATGATATCCACATACCTCAACTCACTCTTTCCGTAATAGCCCTGTGAAGATAGGATATTACATGAGGGAGAACAAATATTCATGAAATACAAGAGACAGTAGGGTTTGAGATATCAAGCCTGGGTTCAAGTCCCAGGTTAGCCAGTTTTTAGCTGAATGATTTTAAGCAAATTACTTAACTTCTCTGAGTGTCTGTCTGTTTCTCTCTCTCTCTCTCTTCCTCTTCTCTCTCTCTCTCTCTCTCTCTCTCTCTCTCTCTCTCTCATATAAAATGAATAATTCTTACTTCATAAGGTTACTGTAAGGGCAAAATGAGATAGTATATAAATCTAGTTCAGTGCCTAGCATATAGCTGATGCTCATTAGCATAGATCTCACATGCTAGGTTGTATTATTCCTATTTATTTGCTCATTTATTTTTGGCATTTAGGATTGAACCAAGGAGTACTTTACCACCAAACTACATCCCCACGTCCTTTTTATTTTTTATTTTGAGATAGTCTTGCTAAATTGCTAAGAATCTGCTAAAGTACCAAGGCTGGCCTTGAACTTGTGATCCTCCCACTTCAGCCTCCTGAAGTCACTGAAATCAGAGGCATGTTCCCCCATGCTCTGCTATTATACCCATTTAAAGGGGAAGAAACTGTGACTCAAATTAATCTGTTTATTTTGGCCAAAAAAACTAGTAAATAGAAGGTGTAGAACTTGGAGAGAAGTTAGTCAAGACTACTGTTAATATAGGTTTGAACCTTAAAAAAAAAACAAACTTAATTCATGATTTATAAAATTCAAAGTTATAAAATATATATTTGTTTTTTAAAAAAAATTTTGGATTGGGGATTGAAGGGACACTTTACTACTGAACATATCCACAATCCTCTTTTCTTTCTTCTTCTTCTTTTTTTAATCTTCTTTTATTTCTTATTTTGAGACATGGCCTTGCTAAGTTTCTGAGGGCCTTGCTAAGTTGCTGAGGCTGGCCTTGAACCTGTGATCCTTCTGCTTCAGCCTCCTAAGATTCTGGAATTGCAGGGCCATGCCTGGATAAATTTATAAAATATTTAAATGAATTGGTGATTAATTCACTAGTTAAGGAAACTTGTAATGTAAACATCCTTTCACCTTTGAAGTATATTTCCCACACCAAAGTTTGACTTATAAACACAAACATTTTCTCTTAAGACCACCTATGACATGAGTGAAGCATTGGAAAATTAATGTGTTGGATTTATGTTGCTTTCATTAGAAGGTTAGTCAAGTAAACTACTCTTCTCTATTTTAGATGAGTCCTTCCATTTTATGTACTTGTTTCTAATACAATATTCTTAATTTCTGGTTCTAAAACCAAATACTGTATTTATGTAAAAAATACTTTTCCAGAACTTAAATCCTTCTTCTGACCAAAAGTTCTGCTCTCAAAGTGAGGTTTTATTACCAACTCATTCTACCTTTAGAGAAACTTTTTCCTTTCTTTCTTGGGTGGTAAGTTACAGTGAGTAGATTTGGTGGTCTTTGAAGATGGAGTTAAGAGCTATCTTGAACAATGTATGCTGGTGATTGAACCCAGGGTTTTGTGCATGATAGGCAAATGCTTTACCACTGAGTTACATCTACAGCCCTGCTTTATTTTTTTCTAATCTCTATTTGCATATACATTTCTTTGAATTACTGTTATCTTGTAGATCAATGTTGCAAAACAGGTCATTGGAAAGGAAAAAGATTCTTTAGTTATCCTCTGCCCAGTTCTTCAGCTTTAATTAAATCCATGAGATGAATGGTCCCAAGCTTTACAAGATTGGGGCACTGAGGCAAGGCAAATTCTGCCTGTTCTTTATCTTTCTCCTGCCCTGTGGCAGCTCATTAGGATCCCTGTAGGGTTCAAAGGCTGGTTCAAAACTACTGTCCTATATCATTACAGTCAACAATATAACAGACCTATATTCAATTGTTCCTATCCTTGGGCAAATTTCTGCCTGTAAGGCATAAATTCTTCCCCTTTATTTTATTTTTATGTGGTGCTGAGGATTGAACTCAGCACTCTGCGCATACCAGGCGAGCCACCTCTCCAGGCCTATCATCCCTTTTTGACATTGGTGTTAGTAGCTTTTTTTTTTTTTTTTGGTACTGGAATTGAACCCAATGGCACTTTGCCGTTGAGCTACACTCCTAGTTTTTTTTGTTTTTTTTTTTTTAAATTTTGAGACGGTCTTGCTGAGTTATTGAAGCTATCCTTGAACTTGCAATCCTCCTGCCTCAGCCTCCTAAGTCTCTAGGACTAAGGTGTGTACCACCATGCTTAAGTGCTACCTTTAGTTATTTGAAAATGATCACTTCCTAAGCTAATGTGAGTTTCCTTTCTGTGTGGAAAAAGCATTTATAACTAGAATTGGAAGAAATGTGTCACAGCATGAGTGCTGCTTCTGTTGCTCCTTTCTGCTCCTCCTGAGCAGACTTTTTTTTTTTTTTTTAATGGTGGTGCTGGAGTTTGAACCTGGGGACTTGTGCATGCAAGGCAAGCACTCTACCAAATGAGCTATCCCCAGCCCCAACTTTTTTGGGTGTGTGATCCTGGGGATTGAACACATGGCCTTGTGCATGTGAGGCAAGCACTCTACCAACTGAGCTGTATATCTGCTTGCAGCCGCAGCCCCTGACCTGACTTTTTGTATGTACATTTGTGAGAGCAGCTGGGATTGATAGCTCTCCAAAACAATACTAGTTTGCTGGCAGAAGGAAGATCATGAAACCCAGGATTATAAAATAACATCTGGTCTTCAGATGAAGTATATCTTGGGATTAGGGCAGAAGTGTGCTAACTTTAACATTTGAACTTTAACTCTTTCAAGTGAAAGAAAAAGATATGAATTTGGGGCAGTGGGGTAGAGCTGGGGTTGTGGCTCAGGGATGGAGCACTCGCCTAGCACTTCCAAGACCCTGGGTTTGATCCTCAGCACGACATAAAAGTAAATAAAAGGATTGTGTCCACTTCAACTAAAAAATAAAAAATTAAAAAAAAATAATTTGGAGTCGAGGTTGTATCTCAGTGGTTGAGCACTTGCCTCACATGTGTGAGGCACTGGGTTCAATTTGCAGCACCACATAAATAAGTGAATAAATATAAAGTATTGTGTCCATCTACAACTAAACATAAATAAATAAATAAAAAGATAAGAATTTAAAGATTCTTTTATTTTTTTTCTCTTTTTGGGTAGTCAACTTAAACTAAACCTTCCTACCAAATCCTACCCTTCCCTAGCCAGAAATGCATTTTATCCCCTGCCTCCCAAATTGAGACCACTTTTACTGGGCGGGATTCCATTTAGATAACAGGATTCTACCTTTGTGCTACCAAGTGATATAGTCTGAGCTGCAAATGAGGACCATTTAATGCTTCGTTTGATCTTAATTAATTTCAGTGGGGCCTGTTTTAAATGGGCCATGCCCTACCGTTTTCTGCAGTGTGTTATTTAGCTCAGCAGGAATGAAGTAGCTCTTTTAACTCACTAGGGTGTGATGACCTCAGTGAGAAGAGCATTGTTAGCACTCTGTAAAAAGCTATTTTTGAACCATGTTATTTAGAAGTCATTGCTGTTCTTTGTTGCAAAAGAAGTTTTGCAGGAAAATGGCCTTTGTTCCCAATGAGTTCACCTGTAGCATTGGTAGGGCATGTGTTTTCAGTGAGATGCCATCCCCCTGCAGTCTGCATTTTTAAGGGAGGATTGGCCTGAGGGTGGGATGGGGCAGAAATGAGTATAGGTAGCAGAGAGTGTGGAAGAAGAAGCCTTAACTGGAGCTGAGTCAGTGGAATCCACCCTTTCTTTCAGCAGATGGTTTAGTTTCCCTGAAGACTTTGGGGTTCAGACTTAAAAATGAAGGCCTTGTCAAGATTTAAAAGAGATTCATTATTGGCAGCCTTTAGAAAAGATTTGTTATTGGCATGCTCTTTATGTGTAGGTGTGTGTTTTCATGATTTTCATAACTGCCCTTCTATAGGAGAAACCTACACCTACGACTGGCAGCTGATTACTCATCCTAAAGACTACAGTGGAGAAATGGAAGGGAAACATTCCCAGATCATGAAACTATCCAAGGTGAATTTGCTTCTTTTCATTTGCAGGACTAAGTCAGAGTAGGTGATTTACATTCTAAAATAGGTAATATAGAATTTTCTGTCCACATTGAAGTTGGGAATAATTTTCCAGAAGAGTCTCCTTCAAAAGTCTGACTGGCTGACATCCAGTGTTTGTTAGTGTATGATTTTCAAAGTTTCATTAAAATTGAACCAGTATGGCAGTGATAGTTGAATATATCCACTAAACAGCTTTGAAGCGTAACATAAGGATTTTGGAATTTGGGACATAAGATAGGTAATTTGTGGCCACATGACTGTATACATTGGTTCAGTCCCTTTCATATAGTTTTTAAGAGCCATAAAAATGTTTATATTTTTTGGCCCTTAATGATTCATTCATTAAATGGAAGGTTACTCCTTGTACACTAGTTATGTGAGAGCCATTTGAGATTAACCAGTAAATTAATCATAATTTTAATGTTTGGGGAATGGAGTTTAGGAGGTACTTAGGAAGCAGGGAAGGCTAATAGGTGATCACTAGGTCAGCGAGAATAGATTTCTTAAGAGAAAATTTGCCCTTGTGGGTCTGAAAAGTGACTGACTTCCTGGGTAAAGGGTGGAGGGAACATAATCAAGCAAAAGAAGCAGCATATCCACAGGGCTAAGAATGAGAGAGAAAATGTGGGGAACAGTACATAGTTGAGCCTGAGTGGACAGTCAGGTATGAGAAGAGCGGTAGCATAGTCAGTTGGAGAAATGCAGGGGCCAGGTGCAGCAGAGCCTCATGGCAGATTAAGGACTTTGAATCTTACCTAAAGGAAATAGGGAGCTTTTGAAAACTTTTGAGCAGAAGAAAGACATGTTCAGATTTTCAGTTTAGAGAGATCATCATGTCCACAGATTAAAGGAGATGAAACTCTTTAAGTGTGGAGATCAATGACAAATGTATTGAAAAATTAAGGGGGAAATGATACTATTCTGAGTATGAAAACTAAATAGATGATATTAATGAGAAACCACCAACTGAGCTCATACCATATGCCAGACTTGGTGCTAATTGGTTTACTCTGTTATTTCTTTTAATTGTCATAATATCCCCAATATGTAGGTGTTAATATTTGTTTTACAAATAACAAAACTAAAATTTGAAAAAAGGAAGTGGTTTGGCCAAAGTTCACAGAGATATTAATTAAATAATAGGTTTGCACCAGAGCTATTATAATCCCATGCTTTAATAATTAATATGATGAGTAGTTAAAAACCAAGGTGATGGTTTGATCCCCAGTACCACAAATAAACAAAAAATGAACTAAGGTGTGGCAGTGTAGATGGAGACAAGTGAGTGGAGGTCAACTTGAGAAAATGTGATGATCTGATGATCAAGGATTGTGTGAGAGTGTTGGATGATTGTAGCTTTTTTGGCTTAGGCACCTGGATGGATGTTCACTGAAATAAGGAACACAGAAAGGATAACAGATTTTGGGGAAATTTTCAGATGATTAATTCACTTTCAGGTGGAGTGAATTTGAGGTACCTGTGAGACATTTGAGTGGAGTTGTCCCCATAGCAGCTGGGGGAAAGAAACTATATACTAGGGGACATCTGGGCTAGAAAGATAAATTTGCATATCCACCTCAAATAGATAATTGAAACCAGAGTCATAGATAAGATCAGCTAGGGAGAATGTTTGGATTAAAGAAATAAGTAGGCTGAGATTGGAATCCTGGGGTGTGCTCTCATTTAAGGGATGGCAGGTAAACTGGAGGAAATATGAGGTAGGTGGAGAAGGGAAAATTTAGGAGGAAAGCATTACAAGGGAGAGAGTGGTCAAAAATGTTACTGATACCCAATTAGTGTTTATCCAAAGGAGATAATTCTAAAGAAAGGACACCCCTCATTTTTCTTAAAGATGTTCATTACAGCATTAGTCATAACAGTAAGAGTTTAGAAGCACCCCAAGTATCCAAAAGTATGAAATGTTTATGACACATTTATTATTATTCTATAGTCATTAAAGTGAATATTAAAAAGACTATATCCTAATGGGAAAAAGGTTCATGCTAAATGAAAAGAACAATAAAAAGTTTGATACTTTGGTTTTAGCTAGACTTTGAATACCTCTGAAATTTGAGCTCTTCAAATGTGGGAATCTTAATTTACCTCCAAACCCCAAGCCTAGACAGTGACTGGTATATGATTGATTCTCAATAAATGTTTGCTGAATGAATTGGATAAAGCTAGTTTTTATGTGGGCAAAGATTGGAAGGAAATAGAGAAATATGATGAGTTAATTGTTAGGGTAATGAGATGGTAGGTGATTTTATTGCCCCCTTTTATATAATGTTCATATAGTTAATAGAAGTCAGGAGGGAAAACTGCTTAGATATTTGGGAACTATTTGGAATTTTTATAAGATGTTTTTCTTTGAAGAGATGATTATTTTAATTTCATAACTCTGTGCTATAGGATGGTTGGGCCCTTAATGTTCTTCTGAAAAGAAAATGGGAGTATAGAGAGATTGAAATCCCTTATGTTATTCTAGAGGCAGCTAGTAATAAGATATTCACATTAAAAGCTGTGTTTCTTTTTAGTGTAATTCATTGTTTAATCTCTTTAGCTAGTTTACTTTTTCAATTTTGAAAATAGGGCAAGGAGAGTGCAGGATTCAGCCTGAAGAAACTCAGATACTTATGTTGTCTTAAATACAATTGCTGCTCTTGGTGGTTGTCTGAAAGATCTTCTCTCACTTTTGCAGCTGACTCCAGGCCTGTATGAATTCAAAGTGATCGTAGATGGTCAAAATGCCCATGGGGAAGGCTATGTGAACGTGACAGTAAAGCCAGGTTTGTGTTTCAAGCCACAGCTCTGTCCCATTTCTCTCTCTCAAAGACTCCTGAGGAGGAGAAAATTTGACTTTTGGGTTTTTGATACCATCCTTTTTTTTCATGAAATATTTATTGGACATTTCCTAGATCAGTGTAGTAAAAGGTTATGGCAGCAAAGTATATATGTGTTCCAAGTGTTCTAATTGGAATACTGGACTGGGCGGGAAACATTAGTCACAGCATCCATAGTGCAGTGTGGCCTAAGCAATAACCTACCTACCAGAGAACTACTTCTCCAAGTGGGCTATGCTGAAAGAGGAAGCCAGGAGCCCAGGAGAAGCATACAGAAGAACCCATCAAGTTACCAGCTCTTTCTGGTATCTTTCCAGAGATGTGGGTCTCTGTACACATTTTCTCATTTAGACTTGCTGGTCTCTTTCACTTTAGAAACCAAATCCATCATGTCATTCTTTTAAAACGAGCCACTGTTGGCAGATTGTAGTACAATAGCAAGGTATAAGGGATCTTGTTTTGCATTTTCAGAGAAATTTGGGAGAAGTTGGAGAGTAGCACATGTACTAGCACAAATTAGTACTGTTTCCTGTCTTTTTTGGTAGTAGACTTTCTTTTCATTTCTTGAGTTTTGTAGCCAATGTAATCTTTTCACCTTTTTAAAAATATGGTCAGTGGGCCTGGAATGTAGCTCAGTGGTAGGCCCCTTATCTAGCATGAGCAAGTCCCTGGTTGTATCCTCAACATGGGGATCAACATGTAGACTGTTTGATCATTTCCCAAAGAAAAGGCCACTGGGTTTGTAGGTCACAATCATTCAGGTGGACCAGAGTGGTTTGTGACCTTCCCTTACACAGCCATAGTCACCCCCTACACCATCAGCTCTCATTATCTTTTCAGTATAGTCTGTGCCAAAGGATAGTTTGTTTGCCAGTGTTTTTATTAAACAAAGCTTGTTTGTTGTGCACCTCTCAGGCTGTCTTGAAAGTAGCCACTGACTGCTATAGTACTTTTCATGAGCTGGATACACAAGAGCATTAAGAGAATGCACAGGGCACAGTCTTAGGAGTGGTCAGGTTGTTTTTTGTTTGTTTTTTTAAAGAGAGAGAGAGAGAAAGAGAGAATGAATTTTTTTTTAATATTTATTTTTAGTTTTTCGGCAGACACAACATCTTTCTTTGTATGTGGTGCTAAGGATCGAACCCGGGCCGCACGCATGCCAGGCGAGCGCACTACTGCTTGAGCCACATCCCCAGCCCAGGAGTGGTCAGGTTTGAAAGAGGCCCATATATTCCCAGGTTTCTTATGTTAAAATGGAAACCTGGTCTGGCTGGGGTTGTGGCTCAGTGGCAGAGCACTCACCTAGCATGTGTGAGGCGCTGGGTTGAGCCTCAGCATCACATAAAAATAAATAAATAAAAATAAAGGTATTATATCCAACCACAACTAAAAAAAAAATTAAAAAAAAATAAGATAAAATGGAAACCTGGTCTTGTGACTTTACCATCTGGTGATGCTTCAGCTGTCAATTATGTAATGGAAACTGATTTGTAATCCACTCAGCTATGACCTGCCCTTCTTATAATTTATAAAGTTCCCCTCCCAGTCTCTTCTGGGTCACTTTCTTTCAGAACCCCGTAAGAATCGGCCTCCTGTTGCTATCGTGTCACCCCAGTTCCAGGAGATCTCTTTGCCAACCACATCTACAGTCATTGATGGCAGCCGTGAGTACTTGTCTAAATGTGACAGACAGTGTGCGCTCACAGCGTACTCCTGTAGAAATCTCTGGTAGAAGGTTCAGGGCCCACTGCATTCTGCTTGGAGCAGTCTTCTTGATTGTGTTATGGGTCTGAAGCAGCTGACTGAGAAGTAGGTGACAGGACAGGCCCAATTAAAATTCCCACATGGCTTGTTTAAAGTGATATTCCTGCTCTAAGATGGCAAGAAAGTGGTATTGTGCATGTATTTAGAATTACTTTAGTTGGAACTGTCTGTTTTTCAGATTTACTTTGATGGGATTTCCTTTCCGGGTTTTGGAAACAATGTTTCTTGCTTTCATGCTAGATAAGTAACTGAGAGGCATGACCCAGAACTCTGACTCTGCCATCAGTGCCTAACCAGATTGTCCTCTCTTCCCAGGGAGACTCAGAATGCCCTCCACAACCTGCCTGGGCTCACTGCCATTTTACTCTTCAGAGTAGCATCACCTGATGGGTGACAGGAGAGGATTTTTGAATCTTAGTTCTTGATCCTTGTAGTGTGTGTGCAGAGGTTTCAGTCCCGTCTTCTCAGTGGTATTCGCTTGGTTTCTTTTGAGACCCATTAAGGCCCCATTACCCTGTCTTGGCACCAACAATTGTTTTTGGCAGATGCATTCAGTGCTTGGCAGAGGACCCTCTAGCAAGGTTAAGCATTTCTTGTCATTGGTTCTGGCAAGAGGAGTAGAAGGATAGAAGCCAAGGGGAAAGAGAACAGGAAGAAGTGCTTATCATAGAAAGTGTTCACATAGCACTGTTATTGTATAGTTTTGAATAGGTCAAAATAATACATAAAGGTACTCAGTGAAAAGAATCATACCATCCACGTCTCCCCAACTATTCAATTTTCCTCCAGACAACCAATGGTATTGTTTTATGTATCCTTCCAGAAATTTTTTATGTACATATAAGAAAATATGTATATAGTGTTATCCCTTTGTTTACACACAACACATCATGTGTGATCATTGATAGCACATTAGGTGTGCTGTTACATATGTATTATGCTTGTTTCTCTGTGAGGGAATTTTTCTCAATCATTGCGTGAAAGGCTTATTCATTCTTTTAGCAGTTAAGAGTGTTTCATTATATGTATGTATATGATTTCATTGTGTGACTGTATTCTTGTTTTTGATCTCTATTGTTGACCATTTAGACGACTTTCATTCTTTCGCTGTTACAAACAACATATCATAAATAATCTTGTCAAAATGCTCCTTAATGTATATGTTATGTAGGATAAATTCCTAGACGGATATATTCCTAGAATATTATTTCGTTGTATGAATACAAATTTTTATTGATCTCTAGCAATGACCATTTAGATTACTTTGATTCTTTTGCTATTACAAACAACGTTATAATAAATAATCTTATCAACATGATGTTTAACCCATGTGTAGTGTGTCTGTTGAATAAATTCCTAGAAGAATTGCGGGAACAAAGATAAATATTGCCAAAGTACTAGTTGTAGGATAACTAATTGTATCAATTTATGCTTCCACCATGACTAATGAAAGGGCCTTTTTCCATACCTTTACCTATATAATGTGTCATGAAACGTCTTAAAAAACAATTTGATAAGTTTAAAGTGATATCTCAAGTGTAATTTTAATTTACATTTTTTAAATGAAGTTCAGTATGTTTTCACATGTTTAAGAATTGCTGATTTTCATCTGGGCATGGAGGCACATACCTATATTCCTGGTGACTTGGGAGTCTGAGGCAGAAGGATCATAAGTTTGAGGCCAGGCTGTCTCAAAATAAAAAATAAAAGGGGTTGGCGGTGTAGCTCAGTGGTAGAGTACCCCTGATTTGATTCTCACTACTGAGTCTCAGGGGGAAATTTTTGATTTTCTTTTTCATAGGGTAGTATTTTAGTCAGAGGTGTCCTATGTTTCTTGAGAAACAATGCAGTAGAATATTCATAGAGAGGCAGAATGACCCAATATTTCTGGGGAAGAAAGACTCTATAGAGATAAGTCTATAATTTCATGAGGTTTTCCTAGCTTGAAATCTCTGAAGTAGTTGTCCTGGTTTATATAAACTGGTAAGTCCTGGGACCCAGCATTTTCATGTTGTAAACGATGTTCTTTGTGGTCCAGAAAGCACTGATGATGATAAAATCGTCCAGTATCATTGGGAGGAACTTAAGGGGCCTCTGAGAGAAGAGAAGATTTCTGAAGATACAGCCATATTAAAACTAAGCAAACTGGTCCCTGGGAACTACACCTTCAGGTGAGTCAGGATTCAGTGTCAGATTGGCCAGAGGCCACCCTTTTCCTTCCTGTATCTGGCATTTTGGTTTTACTTCCTTGAATGTCTTCTCAAACTATTGAAGGTTCTGCTCATGAGGAGAGACTATGACTCTCCTCTTTCCCTCCATGCCTCACCAGCACCTGCCATAGTGTGACAACTTATTCTTGGGCATCTGTCTTCCTGTCAGTCTGATATTTATCAAGTTTCAGACTCTGCTGGGGTCACAGAGATGATTATCCTAGCACAACATTTACCATACCATACCTTTACCATCAATTTGCAAATTCGGACTTAGTAGCATTCTCTAACTGGAAGGTAGCTTCCTGAACAATAAGATTTGGGCCTTCTTGTTAGCTTAAAATGAAAAGTTGATTTGATTTTTATTAGATTTGTAAAAAACCAAATTTCCCATTTATAGAATTTAGCCTGATCTGGGTTAATCCTTTATTTAAATAGTGACAATAATAGCTAATGTTTTTGAACATTTACTGTATGCCAAGTACTGTTCTGAGCTCTTTGCTTATAGTATCTCATTTATTCCTTTTAACTGGCTTCATGGTTACTCTCATTAACACATTTGCAAGTTTTGGCACAAAGAGGTTAAATAATTTGACCAAGGTCACACAGCAGTCTGATTCTAGAATCTGGGCTTTTAGCCACAGTGGTAGACCAAGTTTGTTGGGTGTGTGGGACACTGGGAGCAACTTTTTCTTTTTCCCTAGCCCTTTATGTCTTTTTAATCTATGAGATGATGGGTTTGGATTTGATTAGCATTAAGGCTCAATCTGGTTGTGGTTCGCTTGCCTTCTCCTCTCTCTGTCGTTTCTTTCCCTGACCCTATATTCAGCTTGCTCTTCTACCACAGGGTCTATGCAGGCAGACCAGGGACTGTTTAGGGTGAAAAGCAGAGCAATGGGCAGCAGCCATTTTGCCTGTGACCCCTTTCTGTTGTCACATGGAGATGGGTAGGTATGCTAACAACATCACACCTGTGAAAACAACAGGGAAACTGGGAAAAGGGGCCAAACACTGGACTTCCCTTTTCCAGTGCTTGCTGATTTGTACATGTGTGCATGTCCTGTATTTTTGTGCTTTTTTCCTTAAGGCTGTACTATCAGAAATCCCCTTCATACCACAGGTAAAAGTGAGATTGTGGGATAAAAACCCCAGAGATGTCTGACTCTTTCTGAGGCTGGTGAGAATTAAACAAATCTCTTGTCTTTCCTATGCTTTTCCTCTTTCTGTCAGCAAAATGGAAGGATCCCAAACCTCTTTGCTTGGTTATACTCACATTTTGAGGTGGCATGAGAAGCTCTAGGCTGTTCAGCTGGAAGGCATCATTTAGGTAAAAGCCTGCTCTTATAAAAGAACATTTTTTTCCTTGCAAATCCCGTTTCTCACTGGCACAAACTGTGGGCCTGTTGCGTGGGAGAATTCATTTCTATCTCAAACTCCTGCCTTACCAGAGCCAGCCCTCCTGGTCTGTCCCAAAGACTGTGTGCCCAGGATGGCCCTTCTTATGATATGCACATAGCTAAAACAGGATGATGGGGACAACCTGCTGCAGACAGAGTGTGCTCTATATAGTGTGGTGTCTTTGAACTAGGGGCCAGGGATTATCTCTTTTTAAGACTAGGTTTCTGAGGTTTGGAATCAGAGAACTGGGCTTGCATCTTGGCTCATCATGAAGCCCTGGGCAAATTGCTTCTCTTCTCTAAGCCTCCTGTGGAGTGCACTGACGAAACCTACTCGATATGGTTATCATGTGAATTATATTACAGTGCATATAAGATCTTAGCACACAGATTGTCATAGGCAGCAGAGCAAACTGGTGCTGGAGACATACTTCCTTTCAGATCCTGAGTCCACTGCTGTCCAACTGTATGACGTTGAGTAAGTTACTTTTCCTCTTTTCGCCTTGGGCTCCTTGTGTATGTAAGGAATAATACAAGGATAATACTTTATAGAGCTTTTAGATGAATCCAATGAGATATAAAGGCTTGGAACAGTGCCTGTCACATAGTAAACCCTCAGTCACTGTTAGCTTCTAGTGTTACTCTGCTTTTCCAGTAGGAAAAGTCAGAAGAGGTAATCCTGCCACCTTGGGGTTTCATAGTCTTGATTTTCAGTTCTCTAGTTTTTTTCCTCCTCCCTAACACTCATCCTTTATTGCACTCCTCTCTCTGCCCTGATAGCTTGACTGTAGTAGACTCTGATGGAGCTACCAGCTCCACCACTGCAAGTCTGACAGTGAACAAAGCTGTGGATTATCCCCCTGTGGCCAACGCAGGCCCCAACCAAGTGATCACCCTGCCTCAAAATTCCATCACTCTCTTTGGGAACCAGAGTACTGATGATCATGGCATCAGCAGCTATGAGTGGTCACTCAGCCCAAGCAGCAAGGGGAAGGTGGTAGAGATGCAGGTAGGAGGGAATGCTTTCTGCCTTCTCTTGCCCAGGGGATAAAGAACTGCTGGATTGGGTCACCATTCAAGGTTTATTTCTTTTCCATTTCAATTACCAAAATCAGATTTGTACATTTATATTTAAAAAAGAAAACCCAAAACAAATCCAGAAAGTTTTATGGGCCTTTTGTTGACAGGTTAGCAATAATCTTTAACTTAAACCTTTAGTATCAGGCGGGGGAAAAAAAGACTGATGAGAAACGTAGTTGTTCTAGGTGACTCCAGAGAGTCAGACTACTTAGAGGCCACAAGGGTTCAAATCTTGGTGTGCTCTATTCCCAGTTGGAGTAGATTGTCTAACTCAAGGGTGTCTTATCTGGAGATACCTAAAAAGAGATTAGATCTGTCACCAGGCAAGTCACATAAGTAAATAAAGAATACTGTGTGGGGCTCTGGTGAGCCAGAGAACTTAAATCTCTGAATGCAGGGGTCCTCTGCTCTTTGGGTCCAGCTGGCTGTTGCCATGTGGAAGTGTGGTTCCAGTATTGCTGGATAGTCCAACTTTTCAGGAGCAGACAGAAACTAATTTCTCATAAATGTAAAAAAATTCCAACTTTTAAGAAACTCCAGACCAAACAAAATGTCTGCAAATGGACCCAGCCCACAGGTTGCTTATTTTGCCCATTGTTCTGCCCACAGGAAGCTCCTGTGTTGGAAGTTTGCCCTGAATTATTTCTAATGATATTTAAGATGCTATTTCTAGCCAGGCACAGTGTCATGCTAATCCCAGCTATGTGGGAGACTGAGGCAGGAGAATCACAAGTTTGAGGCTAGCCATGGCAACTTAGGGAAGCCCTCAGGAACTTAGTAAGACTTCTTCTCAAACAAGAAAAAGGACTAGGGATGTAGCACAATGTTAAAGCACCCTTGGGTTCAATCCCTAATACTGGGTGGGGGAAAAAACTCTGTGTTTTTAGATTAGAGGCCTGACTTAAAGCCCACATTGTACTTGGCTTTAAGTTCATGTAGTGTGTTAAGTTTTGCTGCTGTTGCAGAATGTGTGCAATCTCTTTTCAGCAGGATATCACATGATGTCTGATTCAACAGTTATTAATTACACTGAACTGGGAGATATCAGCCCATTACCAACTTAGGTTTAGAAAACTGAGTAAATCATTTCTATCAGAGTAAGAATTATTGTGAGATGTTGTGATTCTAGGAGCCCACTTTTCTACTCCTGAATTTCTGTGTGTAGGGTGTTAGAACACCAACTCTGCAACTCTCTGCAATGCAAGAAGGAGACTATACCTACCAACTCACGGTGACTGACACAATAGGACAGCAAGCCACCGCTCAAGTGACTGTTATTGTGCAGCCTGGTAAGTTCCATCCTTGGGGTTCAGACTCTTCTGATGGTTGGTCCCTTTGACCTTGGGGGAGAGGAAGGTTTGGATTCTGAGCCTGTTTGAGAGTAGACGCAGAAAGCACCAACCCATAGAGCCTTGAAAGCAACTTCTTTCATCCATTTCCTTCACATTTTCTTCATGGCTAGAGATGAAGGGTACTTCCCAGCCTCAGCTTGTGCCCTCACCTTGGCTAGTTACTGTGCTTTTATGTGGACCTAGGAAGTAGAGGTGACACCATCCCAAATCCTACCATGTTTCATAAGGATTAGCTTAAAACTCACTTCTCAAGAGAGCCCCCTCTTGTCACTCAAACCTTATAGCATTAGATTTCAGATTTAGCATGGCTTTATAACTGTGCTGTGTTCTGCCATGTTTCTTTCAGAATTTTGATATATTTCAGTCTTATACTCTTCCTTTTTATCTCCCTGGTGGTATCCATCTCTCCCACGTATCTGACATTTTTGTGGGCTAAGAGGCAGAGTTCCCATGTCTACCAGAACATGTCTCATTAGGTCCTCTTCTATCCCACCTGGACTAGCTGCTTTTGACTTCCATGTTTCTCTATCTCTAGAAAACAACAAGCCCCCTCAGGCAGATGCGGGCCCAGATAAAGAATTGACCCTGCCTGTGGACAGCACAACCCTGGATGGCAGCAAGAGCTCAGATGATCAGAGAATTATCTCCTATCTCTGGGAAAAAACACAGTGAGTGTTGACACAGAATCCTGATCTATGCAAACAAAGGCTCTAGGCCATGGAAGAGCAAAGTTTTATGTGCTTTTAAGAGTTGACTTTTTTTTTTTGGTGGTCCTAGGGATTGAACCCAGGACCTTGTGCATGTGAGGCAAGCACTCTACCAGCTGACCTATATCCCCAGCCCTAAGAGTTGACTTATTTTTATTGGCTTATTCAGGAGGGTCACTGAGAAAGAAATGTTTATAATTCCAAATGTCATCTCTTAAGAAAATAATGCTACAAATAGTTTTTATAAGGAAAAAAGAATGCTTACCATTAGTCAGTCCCCAAGTGGTACCGTATGGTCATGGTGCTTTTGTAGGTACAATCCATTTGCTGAAATGCAGTTTAATTACATTTGAGAGGCAGACTAAAAGGGGTAATGGAGCAGAAAATACCATTGTTCAAAATTAACTGGGTAAGGCTGATGGGGATGGGGCAAGAAGTTACCCAGAGAATTAAAAATTATCTATCAAATGAAGGCATTTCTCTGTTGTTTTCTTGGAAGACACCATATACCAGTTAATTTAGCTAGAGGCAAAGGCCATAGCCAAAATAATACCAATTAAGCTGAAATTACCTAATTGAACTGTTCTTGGTTCTCATGGTTTGTTTTAGCTTCTTTAAACTGTAACAAATGGAACACAGATTTTATGCAGGATCCAACAGGAAGCAAAAGAATTAAAAGAGTTAAAAACATTCTTAATTTTCCAAGACAGCAACCATAGGACAGACTTTTTTTTAAAAAAATTTATACACACAGACACACACTTGCACTTCTTCTTCTTCTTCTTCTTCTTCTTCTTCTTCTTCTTCTTATTATTATTATTTTTAAAGCTAGGTATTGCAGATGGTTGGAAAGGGGCTTTAGTTTCACCACGGAATCTACTTGACTTGTGATTGCTGAGTTGAATGCTAGAAATTATTTCACCTAGCTCTTATTTCTGATTTTGGATAACCCAGTCTTCCTCAGCTTGCCATGTTTTCTCTTTAATTATTTATTGAAGATAGGCCTGATGAACCTTTGAGCTGAATTTTAGTAGTCTTTGTGGCAGAGAATACTTAGTAGAGTTTCATGGAGGAGAATCTGTTTCAGGAAAGGCTACGAGGGTCAGAGGTAATAAGTTTAAAAAGCAAAATGAACCAAAGCTGACTCTGAAGTCTGCAGGTTTCTCTGGTTTGTCCTTAATTTGAAGGAAGCTTGGGGGTGTTCAGGGCTCCAGCTCTGTGCAGCCCTGGGCCTGGATGTTGGCACACAGGTCGCTCCCCTGCTGCAGGCTGCTCACTGAGCCGGATGCGAGAAGGCAGGATGCAGTTGTGCTGGTTCTCTGTAGCCCAGTCCTGGAGGTGGAGGAAGCTTTGCTGATAGAACTTCTATGAAGAAGTTGCTTTGTCCTGAGAGGTCCCCTGCAGCCCAGGCTGTTTCCTGTCCTTGACTTTTCCTCAGGAGGGTCTTGGGCATGTGGTTAAGAAATGCATTTTGCTTATTTGCTGGCAAGAGATGAACCAACTCATGGGCCAGAAATACTTTTTAGAAACCTTATTCTTAAAGCATTTTGATCACAGACCTGCTTAGAGAACTTCATTCCTTTTATAAACTGGAGCAGTAAAGAGTTTGAATGCTCTAGAAACTCAGAAAGGATAAAACTAGAAGTGTTTGAAAGCTGGTGAGTAGAATTTTCTGACCAGCAGGTAGCCTGTATTTTGGGGACAAATGACACTTTGTCCAAATGGAATATTTTTAAACATGTCCTGTCAAGGTCTGGGAAATAATTGTTTGTGTCTCAGCTGAGGCATTAATGGTCCCCTCCTGCTGTGTCAGGGACAGGAGAGCGGCAGACAGATCCAACTCCACCCACAAATATTCTTTTTTTCCAGAGGACCTGACGGGGTGCAGCTGGAGAATGCTAACAGCAGCGTTGCCACTGTGAGTGGGCTGCAAGTAGGGACTTACGTGTTCACCTTGACTGTCAAAGATGAGAGGAACCTACAAAGCCAGAGCTCTGTGAACGTCATTGTCAAAGAAGGTATCTATCTCTCTGCCTCAGGTTTGTACAGTACCCTCTTTGGGTCAGATGGCTGAGAAATCTGCCATGTCTTGTTTGGCTGCAGACATTGATTAGTGATAAGAGGTGGGGAATAAATTGGGGTGAGGGTAGCTACCATTTGCTTTTCTAAAGCAACCTTTAATTGAGAGTGAGTGAAATACGAATTTTAACTTCCTTTCCTCCCTTCCTCCTATGCTGCCCTCCTTCCCTTTTTTGTCCAATTGAATAGGACAAGAATTAGGGTTCAGCATTTTGATTTTGCTGCTAAGACCTGGGTTTCCATGATTCTCCCGCAAACTACAGTGACACCTGCTGTCAGGCCTTAAAATGACTGTGCTATACTGCAGCTTCCTGCGCCTGTCCTTTGAGCCCACAGCTGAGACCAATGTGAGGCAGGAGTTGGTTGAGCTGCCCTGAATTGGCAGGCACAGTGACCAAGAGGGACTCTCAGCTGATGGTAGAAAAACCCACCATCCATGGAGGGGTGGCCCTAGTGTGGTCTGTTGTGCTGAGTCCCTACTGAGTTATACCCGAGTTACACCCAAGCTGCTTGGTGGCCCAGGAACAGAGAGGTCACTGTATTTTCTCTGCTGTAAAGTACCAAGGAAGGAATGAGAAAGATATTCAGAGAATAACATTTTAAGATATTTTAAAGAAGAATTTGTGATGTCAGCTGAATGAAACCTATCCTAAGGCTTTAAGCCTCATTGGGCCTTTGTTTCCAGTTATCATATAACTCCAAGATGGGGAAGTGGCTTCTTCTCAGGAAGGTTGCTATGAGACCACAGGAAGAAAGTACACTTGTTCCCTGCTCTGGGTAGGACTGGAGCTTCTGCAGCTCTGGTGGCTTTAAATTTGCATTGCTGGTTGCTGACACAGACAGGCATTAAGACGGCTCCCTGCTTAAGATGCTTATTTAATTTCCCCATAAGTACCATGAAGCAGCATTCCTTCTTTTCCAGAAGGTCTCATTAATTCAATGACTTATCTTTGGTTAGAAATGAACAAACCACCCATGGCCAAGATATTGGGGAATGTGGTGATTACCTTACCCATGAATACAGCAGAGCTGGATGGCTCCAAGTCCTCAGATGACAAGGGAATAGTCAGCTACCTCTGGACTCGAGATGAAGGGAGCCCAGCAGCTGGGGTAAGTGTGCCAGGAACTGAGGAGCTACAAAGTTTTAAGTAGCAGCTGGTGAGGAGAAACCAACACTCCAGGGTCTGTTCTAACAGGCTCATGGTATCAAACCTGGATTGTTCTCCGAAATCCAGGGAAGTTAAGTGACTTATTCTGAGTTTCTCTGCAACTAGTGTGGCACAGAATGATTTCTGTCCCTTGATCCTAGTAACTGTGGGTGGCAGTGCTGTGATGGATCAGGAACTGACACAGGTGGAAACAGTCCCGCCTAGATAGAGCCTCGTTATGGCAAAAGCAGCAGCTGACTCCAAGAAAGGAGTGGTGTTTTGTTCTACAACATAGCTGTGTTGTCCAACCCCACAGGAGGTGTTGAATCACTCTGACCATCATCCTGTCCTCTTTCTTTCCAACCTGGTTGAGGGAACCTACACATTCCACCTGAAAGTGACTGATGCAAAGGGTGAGAGTGACACAGACCGGACAACTGTGGAGGTGAAGCCTGGTGAGTTCACTTAGTGATAACTGAGTGGAATTGCCAGATGGGCTGAAGGAGGCCTCTGTCTTGAGATGCCTTTCCGTCTAGCATGGCATGCCCAGTTTGAAAAACAACCTAGAGCCAGGTGCCGTGGTACATGCCGTGGTACATGCCTGTAATCCCAGCGGCTCGGGAGACTAAAGCAGGAGGATCCCAAGTCCAACACCATCCTCAGCAACTCAACGAGGCCCTAAGCAACTCAGAGAGACCTGGTCTCTAAATAAATTAAATATAAAAAAGGAACAAGGATGTGGCTCAGTGGTAAAGCACGCCTGGCTTCAATTCCTGGTACCAAAAAAAGAGAAAAAAAGAGGAAAAAAATGGGAAAGCAATCTAGAAATCCCATGCTGAAAAATCCTTAGAAACTTCTTACTCCGACAGTACCCCTCCTACCTATGCAGGAATATAGACCTCCCCTTGCTTATCTCAGATGGAGAAACCAAAACAGACAGGGCAAGGCTTGCTCAGTGTCACACAGCAGTTGTGCCAGAGCCAGGCTTTTGTGCCCTGGCCCAGCACTTTGTCCTCTACCATATCTGAGGAGATAGGGCTCAGGTGCACTGGGAACCTGAGCACAGGAGTAGCTCAAGTCATGATGTTGCATCAGCACCAGATGCAGAAAACTATTTTTATAAGTTGAGCCTCAGACTTTATCTGACAGCTCAGGGAAGATAATGTGACTTGTGTCCTGTGTACTTTTGAGATTTCCAGAAATAAAATTTCCTTCTTAAATAGAACCACATTTTTGTTTTGTTTTGAGACTAATTTGGTGGAACTGAGTGTGGAGGTGGGGCAGAGCTTTGTAAGTCCCGGGGCTTTTGATGAGCAGGTATTAACTTTAAGCCTACTCTTGCCTAGGTCAAGCTCATGCATGGATGTCTCAGATGGGAAGGGATCTTGGGAAGTCTTCCAGGCCTTGTCCTGCCTCTGGGAAGGACAACAGCCAAGACACCTTAGAGTTTCTTCTGTGTTCCAAGTCAGATCAGAACAGGCAAATAGTGCATCTAAGTGTTTGTGAATAAGGTATTCTGAACAATTCACTTTAACTTGTAAATGTGGAATAGTCTTTAGGACATGTTCAGAAGTAAAGTGTGGTAGTCTTTCAGTTCTGGACTTGTAAAAAGACAGTGTAGCTGTGGGGTTGCTCTAAGGAAATCCTTCCTTCTCAGCTACCTGGATTTTCTTTATTTTTCATGTATTTAAACCTATAGAGATGGATGCATTCACATTATTGAAAATGACCAATGAGACTGAGATGAACATTTTTCCTCCTGTTGTCACAGACAAAGTACACCAAGTCACTGAAAGGAAGATGGGGTCAGGAGAGACTGCAGGCTCCCTGCTTGGCCTGGAGAGCTCAGCAGTGCCATAGGGACACTGCAGTGTACTTTCCTCCCCTGTCCCTTCACTAAGCTTTTGCCTCCCTGCTTAGCCTTGCCCCCAGCACACATGTGGCCATTCTCAGGTTGGTATAAAGCTTTCCATGCCAGCCCCAGATTGCCTTGTGAGGAATTTGCTGTCATCCCTTACCACTGACTAAATGCTGTCACTACTTCCCCTCCTGTGACTAAGCAAATGCGTAATGGCAGGTCTGTGTTAACTCTCCTACTTCCAAAGCCATGACCAATCCACATGCTTTCCAGATCCCAGGAAAAACAACCTGGTGGAGATCATCTTGGATGTCAACGTCAGTCAGCTAACTGAGAGGCTGAAGGGGATGTTCATCCGCCAGATTGGGGTCCTCCTGGGGGTGCTGGATTCCGACATCATTGTGCAAAAGATTCAGCCGTACACGGAGCAGAGGTAGCTGGGCAATGATTGGGGGGAGAAAAGGAAAGATCAGGGGGTAGATGGAGAAGGGTGGGCTCTCTAATCAGGAACTACTCATGGTGTCCATCTCATTAATGAGCTGTCTTCTGGCACAGGTCGCATGCTCTGTACTATATAGCAGCCAGTTGCTAGGGCACAATAAGGTCTGAGGGGGGCCCTTTACTTTGCAGGCTACAATCTGGGAAAGGAGGTAACCAAGTAAACATCTCATCTCAATATGGGGCAGATTTGACACAATATAAGCTATCAGGGAACTCAGAGGTAAGGGCAGTCCATTCTGGAGAATTCCAGGAGAGCCCAAAGATTTTCCAGAAGTAGAACATGCTTTGAACATGTGACCAGCACAGGAAAACTAAAAGGAAGTTCAGAAGAAAGAAGCACTATGAACCGTGACCTTGAGGTGGGAAAGTGCCGGGTTTCTTCTGGAAGAAGTCATTTGGTTCAGAGCGTAGTGGGCCCCAGGATATGGTCAAAGAAGGGCTGCCTGTGGAGCCTGGAGGAGTTGAGTGTGACAGTTTGGGTGGGAGAACCCAAGTAGTTTGTTTTATGTGTGTGGGGTTTTGTTTACTGTTAAAGCAAGGATATAACATATTTAGATTTTTTAAAAAGTCAAATCAGTAGGGTGGAGGTTAAACTAAAATGAAAAGAGACAGAGCCTGGGAGGCTAATCAGAGGCCTTCTGGACTAGCCCAGTGAAAAGGTGGTACCCTGAATTCAGTGGTAGAAGCAGAGACAAATGAAAAGAGCAGAGGCAAACTAGCAGGCCTTGGGGGTCCTGGGAGATGGAAGATCTGTGGGATGCTTTTGGCTTGGAGTTCTGGATGGATGGTTCAGGCCATTAACTGAGGTTAGGGAGGAAGGAGGAACCCATTTTGACTATTGAATTTGGGGTGTCTTATGGGCTACATGGGGAGATGTTCCATATGGTCCTAAGTATAGGCAGGAAGTCGGGGTGGAAGGAGAGCCGGGGTCACCAGTGTCTAGGCAGAAGTCAAACCATGAGGATGGATGAGTCACACCGGGGCGCGGCAGGAGGACAAGGACAGAATTCTGGAGAACACCGGTATTTAAGGAAGAGGCAGAGGAAGTTGAGGCAGCAGAGGAACTCAAAAAGAATAGCCAGGGAGGTAGGAGGAAGCCCGGTGACAGTGATCTGCTGGAAGTTGAGGTACAGTCTGGCATTGGGGCTACTGTAGCTTCGGAGGCTGGTGGTGCAGTGATAATGTGGAACAGCTGGGGGTGGGTGTGCTCCCCACATCGCCAATGACAGCAGAGGGCAGGTGTTCTGGTCTAAAGTAGAGCTTCTAAATAGGAAACCTCTGCAGAAGCTGATGCTGGAAGTCCTATGGGGGACGGGATGAAAATAGACCTTTTCAAGACAGTAATTCCTGGAACTTCTATATCTATTGAGGGCAAAGTGCTGAGGAAAAGGGGGTGATGGAGGTGAGTGGAGGGGACTGGTGTGGTAGATCCGGAGGAAAGGAGGAAGGGGAGGTACTGTAGTGGGAAATTGGAATGTTGATGCCAAGTCTCATGTTTTGTCTGTGGCAGGGGCAGGGCCATCTGCCTAGCGGAGGGGAGAGTGAGGTGGGAGGCAGGGGAACGGGGAAAGTCTGGAGCAGCTCTGCAGAGGGCGCCAGCTTTGAGCAGCACTGGGGTCTTGGTCCGGTCCGAGTTAGAGACGTGAGGGGAGATCAGTGCTTCCCACTTTTGGCTGAGCACAAGAATGACCTGGAACTTTATGACGGTACATTGCCCAAGCCTCATTCCTGGAGAGGAGCATTCACTGGAGTGGGACTTGGGCTCCTAAGGCTTAAAAGCTTCCCGGGGATCTGATGTGCAGTCAGGGTAGACTAGGTAAACTAGAGGCAGTTTGATTAGGACTCACTCATTCACTCCTTCCTACGTTATTATTATCCCTTCTTCTTTCTTCTTCTTTTTTCCTCCTTTTCCTCTTCTTGGTATGCTTAGCCAACTAGGTGTAGCAATAAGGCAAAATCCAAGTTGGTGGGAATTGGGTGGGTAGAAGCAGTGAGGAAAGGTTTTAGCCACAGTGCTGGGAACAGCATTGTTGGTGGGTGTGCTTGGACTTGCCATCACTGCATATGGGGCACAGGGAAGAGAGAGGCATCTGGATTTCTCTGGGTTCCTGGCTTGGACTCGGTTGACTGAGTTGAGAATTCAGGAGGAGCATGTGCTTGGGGAGTGGGGTGTTATAGCCCTTGCGCACCAGTGTGAGCCCTGATGTACACAGGCCACTTCACCTCTCGGAACCTCTTTATCACCTGTGAAAATGCTAGTACCTGTTTTATAAGATTGATATTGAAGATTGAATAACATGATATTTTCGTAAGTCCCTAACATAGCATTCAATGAATGGTTTTTACCATGAGTTTATTTTGAGACAAGTTGGGTTCAAGGTTCCCGAGAGATCTAGAGTAGATATTCTTGCAAACATTTGCAGGTATAGAGTGGTCACTATTGGTCCTGTGGGGAACGGAGATAAAGATGTGAGGATTATTAGCATTCCAGCAGAAATCGAAGCTGTAAGTATAGAGTAGGTAACTGGGAGAAAATAATGGGAAATGGACCATATATATCTTTTAAGGTGTGTTTTCTTGATTTTGGAATCTGCAAGACTTCATTGTTATTCTCACTGTGTAGCAAGCTTTTAGTTAATGATGGTTCTTCCCAAAATTTATGTTATTTCATGCATACAAAATGATGAGTGTCTGCACTGACACCTTGGGAAAAATATAAAGGCTGTTTATACTGGCAGCAACTGGTCCAGGGCCTATGGGATACCTGGATCCTCCTAGCCAACCTACATGCTGAGGGGGTCAGTATCTTGGGTTTAACCCAGTGTGACCCACTGATTATGGAAGGTTTGATTTATGGAGTTCAAGAAGCATACTATCAAAAATTAAGGCGAAGGCTGGGGTTGTGGCTCAGTGGCAGAGAGCTTGCCTAGAACATGTGAGGCACTGGGTTCGATCCTCAGCATCACATTAAAAATAAATAAATAAACAAACTAATTAATTAATTTATTAAAGATAATGTGTCTATGTACAACTAAAAAAATTTTTTTAAAAACAAAGGCTAAGACAAAGAGAACAGAATTTGTGCTACCCATATACGGGTTCAAACATGGTTCATCTTGAGTAGAAATTGACCCTCAGAAAGCAAAGAGATTCTGGGCATGGAGTAACAGTGTTGTACCAGCCACACCATCTTATTTTTGCTGTTATAGTAACAGTCGCTTTGGCTTTTGGGGCCTGTGGATAATCTTTGATACTTTCCAACAGTTTACACTTTATAAAGCACCGTGGTTGGTTTAATCAGTAACCAAGCCATAAACCCAGCAGCACCACTGTCGGGTGTGAAAGGCTGCCGACCCGTATATTGCCATGACGAAATCCCCAATCTTCTCTTCCTCCTGTTACCTGTTTGAAATGGGTGATCCTGTTAGTTGGGGCATTGTTAAAGTATAGGCTTTGGAGTTCAGACATGACAGGGTGAGGATCTGGCTCTGTCATAATTGACTGTGTGACCTTGGGCAAGTTACTCAACCCCTCTGAGCCCCAAAGTTGTCCTCTGAGAAATGAAGATGGCACTGATAACACCTTTCTGTGACAGAATGCATGTGATCCTCACCAGTGTTGGGCACAGCAGAAAGTGCTTAGTAATTAGTTCTAGCTCCTGCTGCCCGGTGGATCCCTAATGTTCATCATACTATCACATGTCTCTGCAGCACCAAGATGGTATTTTTTGTTCAGAATGAACCTCCGCACCAGATCTTCAAAGGCCACGAGGTGGCAGCAATGCTCAAGAGTGAGCTGCGAAAGCAAAAAGCAGATTTCCTGATATTCGGAGCCCTGGAGATCAACACTGTCAGTAAGTAATCCCGGGACGGGATGAGAGCCTGCCCCTCTGCAGCTTTCCTCCTCCCGGCTGTGCTCATCTCCTTTCTGTGGGAACTTTCAGTTGTTTTCCTTCACCACCATTGTGGCAAGGAGTCCCCATTCACCTAGGGGTCCTTACCTTGTGCCCCATGCCCATGTGCCTAAGGTGGTGCGCAGGGAGGCTGCAATGAAAAAATTACATCTTTATTTTCACTATCCTCAGGTTGAAATTCATACGCTCCCTCAGTTGCACAGGTGGGCACTGTTAGCGGCACCTGTGTCTTGAAGGCAACAGAAATCACAAGTCATCTCCTATCACATTACATGACAAAGTGCCATTTTTACTCATCACTACTTCAGCATTACAATAGTACTTAGACATCTTATTACTTAATGTTTTAATAAAGGCACTTTAGTTTGAAAATTTGTGTTCTTAAGTCAAAACCATATTCACTATAACTATTTCCTTTGTAATACTACATATATTGTCCTATTGGTTTTATTGTTCTGAGAAGGGGGTGTATGGGACACAAAAGATGAACAGTCTCTTACAGAACAAGGAAGACCAACTGGAGCTGTCTCTGGGGGCCTTGGTGACCCTCTGTCTCGTGCAGCGTGCCCCAGCCATGCTGGGAAAGCTCCTGGGTCTGGGCTGCAGGAAATGGCACCACAGGACACTGAGCAGGCCTTGCCTGAGTGTCTTCACAGCCTGCATGCTGGGTGTTGGTTGTCCCCTGGGCTCTGACTGTCAACGTTTTCCCTCTCCTGCTACCTTCAGCATGTCAACTGAACTGTTCTGAGCATGGCCACTGTGATTCATTCACCAAAAAATGTATCTGTGACCCTTTTTGGATGGAGAATTTCATCAAGGTGCAGCTAAGAGATGGAGACAGCAATTGTGGTGAGTCTATGTAGCCCAGATTGGTTGCTTTGGCTGTAGTGTGGATCTGCACCACGGGGACAGGTATTTCTGAGGAGAAGAGCAGGCGAGGAAAGAACTCTTGTGTTTTTTGTTTGTAGGGAGCTTTTCCCTTTTTCTTCACACTTGCTCAACTTTAGTGGAAAATCTGGGCATAGTGTATATGCCTGTAATCCTAGCATCTTGGGAGGTTGAGGCAGGAGGATAGCAAGGTTGAGGCCAGACTGGGAAACTTAGTGAGATCCTGTCTCAGAATAAAAAATAAAAAGGGCTGGAGATGTAGCTTAGTGGTAGGTGCCTCTAGGTTCAACCCTCAGTACTAGGGAGGAAAAATTAAACTCTGGAGTACTCACGGAAGAAGAATGAGGCTTACGTCGGACCAGCTGCACACTGCAAGCAGCCCACCACATGGCTTCTGTCCTTTTGGAGCACATGCATGCTGTCGCCTGATGGAAGCCTGCAGTTTGTCATGTAGAGCTCTGTGCCTGCACACTACTGCAGGACCTCGGGGCATTCATGGAGCAGGGCCTTGGATGCAGGGCCTTTCAGAAGCATGCAGCTGTCCTGGACTCCAGGGTCTTGCCTTTTCATGTGTACAGTTGGAAGCCCCCGGGGAACAACTCATTTCTGCCTTCCAGACTCTCTCTTCCCAGCCCTCACTATTTTGATTTTCTTGGCAGAGTGGAGTGTGTTGTACGTTATCATTGCTACCTTTGTGATTGTTGTTGCCTTGGGGATCCTGTCTTGGACCACAATCTGTTGTTGTAAGAGGTAGGATGGATTCTCCTTTGAAACTCATTTGGGGGACTTGTCATTTGGTACCTTCCACATGGAAGAACCACAGTCATGGTTGGAGGGGTTTGGGTCACTCAAGGTCTGTGGAGAAAGTTCCTCACCCTCAAACCCTGCTGAGGGCAGGTGCACTTGCCTTTGGTCAGGTGGGGAGACTGCCCCTGGGGATATCTGCAACCTCAGAACCCTGGGGTAGGGGAGAGTGGAGCAGATCCCACCCAAGTGCATGTCCTTGGATGCTCCACACCCGGCCTTACACTAGAACACAGGAGTTTTTACTCTGCATCCTCCCTAGTTGAGAATTGTAGGTATGTCTGATTTCACACAGTTGTAGACTTGGATTTTCGATGATGAGTGGTCTAGGTTTCTTAGTTTTATATAGCCTTACAACATTTCATAGTTACATTTATTATATGTTTTTCATTATTAGTATGATTTTTGTGTTTACTGTGTTTTATGACATTTGGTAGGTAATATCTTTTTTATAACCATAGCAGCCTTTTCTCGCTTTATGAATAAGGAAACTTAGGTTCAGAAAATCATGTCACCTGACTGAGAAGCAGTAAGTGACAGGGCTGGGATTTATCCTACAATGTTACCTCATGTAGGACTTAGAAAGTTAAAAGAACTTAAAAAATCCCACAGCCTGAGACAACCACCATGAGCCAACTCAGTTAACCAGGAGACGTGCTGCTCCCTCCGCCCACACTGCTAGTCAGGTTCCTTTTCTGTGCATTTCCACCAGTGGTCCTTGTTGATCTGTGGAGTGACGAGGCCACACTAAGGTGGTCACAGCTCCCTTGCCTTCCCAGGGCTGGGAGGAACATTTTATGAGGAACAAATCACAGTTACCACCTTCCCTGGCTGCAAAGTGAGGAGAGCCACCCCCACGGGGACACCCTGCATGCACTGGCCCTTGTCCTGATTCTCAAGAGAACCTCTTTCCTGAGCAAATTCCTGGGAATTGTGTGTTTTAGGCAAAAAGGAAAACCCAAGAGGAAAAGCAGGTACAGGATCCTGGATGCCACTGATCAGGAGAGCCTGGAGCTGAAGCCGACCTCCCGAGCAGGTAGGGCCTGGAAGCTGGGGCCGTCATCGCTAGCTCATTGCTCCACAGCTATGTGCTGCACAAGCATATTGTTCCCTTGCCTGCTGAAGGTCCCCTGGGTGGCAGAAGCCACATGCAGGACAGGCTGTTTCCTGGGCTGACATCTCAGTGCTCCTTTTGCTCTGCAGAGATGCCAGGCCTCCTGGTTCCTTTGCCTCCCATGTGGTGAAGGTTAGGGTCCTTGGCCCCTTATGCCTGTCCTTTCTGGACAGACAGCAGATCAGAACAAGTGTCTGCTGGCTTACTTCCTTCTCAGTCACCTCCTTCCGCCTTCCTCTCTCCATCATCTGTGGGTCCACAGCTGCCATCTTTGTCTTAGGGTCAGTGGGCAGGTAGCTGCCCTGCTGGCTGTAGGTGTTTCAAACACTGTCACATGCTTCCCACAGAAGGATGGATTTCCTACTGCACCAGACTGAGTGGTGGCACTGGGGGAGTTAGGCGGGTTTCGGGCCTCCCTTCTTTGCCAGGCCTGGTTACTTGGTGAGGTCCCCTTCATCATGTATGCCACAGAACAGGTGCCATTGGCCTATGGGAGCTGTGCTCCATATAAATTATTCCAAACCCTCTGCAAGTGGAACCATTTTAAACACCCCTCCTGCTTCAGGCTTTGTGTTAGAGGAGGCTGCAGGGGGTAGTCCTGATAGGACTGCCCTCAGAGAATTTCGGCCTGGTTGGGGAGACGCATCTGCAGAGAGAAAGTGTTCTTGGGCAGGCAGCCTGGGCCCTGAGCCTGAGCAGCTCTGTCTGAGCACTGGGTGGCGGGGCCTGCTATGATCCCAGCACACCAGGGAGCAGAGGACTGAGGAAAACCACAGTGCCCACCCCTGCAGTGGCATTACTCTTAAGACTGTTTTTCTCCCTCTTGGAGTCTTTTCATGACTTACTATTTCCAGCACAAAAAGCTACAGGGCGAGAAGTTCACCAGGGCCCTTCTCTTGTGGGCAGCCTCTGGCGAGGGAAGCAGGAGACCCACCAATGGGTCTGAGCAGCCAGAAGGGCTAGCTTGGGCTCTGGCTCTGTGGAGGACCAGGTCCAGCAAGGGCACAACCGCTGCAGGATGCTGTTTGGGATTCAGCGACACATTGTATGGTGTGGAGCTGCAGAAGTTCAGCTTGAAGAGGAGGAGCGTGGGCATGGGGCACCGAGAAGGGAGTGTGTGGCATTGAGCCCGAACAGAGGCACGTCAGGTGTTGGCTGTGAAAGCAGGGCAGCTGCGTGGAGCCTCTGAGGGTTACAGGGAGCACGGAGATGCCCGTCCTCAGGAGACCAGGTCTGTAGTCAGCAATTCTGGTTTTGTTATTCTATTGATTTTTTTTTCAGACTTGTATTAAAGTATAGTAGATTGAACCATATAAAATTACTGGTATTTGACTTTTTTGACCTACCAAATGATAGTTTGTGTTTCAACCTATTTTGGTCAGAAAATCGTAGGTATAGCAGTGCTTGGTCTCCACAGGTGAATGAACTCATGTAATAAGCTCCCCAGGTCCCCCTCTTTGTGCTTCTGTCCTGTCAGTGCTCTTCTCCCAGTTCACACTGGTGTCTTGGAGTAGTTTATATGAAAGGAATCATCATGTGTTTGGCACCTTTCACTCACCATCAGATTGATGAAATTTATCCGTGTAATTCATTCACATTGCTATCTAATTTCTGTTGTGTGACCCACGTGCTCCTCATGGTCCCTGGTTTGTTCTAATTAAATGGCTGCTTGGGACTTCAAAAGTCCCCACTCCTGCCATGTGCCTGCTCTCCCACCTCCAGTGCCCAGCCAGTGAAGCCAGAGTCAACCCAGAACCACGGAGCCAGCACCGACACGGAGTGAGGCTGCATCCTCACGCTGTGTTGGGGACTCTGTGTCCACACTGAGCCAGAAGATGGCTGGAGGCTCATTCTCCAGGGTCTGTGTTCTCTGCTTTCCTGTCTTCCACCTCATTCCACTACCCTATTCAGAAAGGGATGTGATAAAACACCCCAAATCTAGAAAGAAAGAACAGTACTGGGTGGCACTAACAGAGCTCAGGGACACTGGGGGTGAGGACCCAGCAACAGAGCCCAGGTTTCATCTCCAGTCTGTGCTTTCTGTGACTTCCCTTAGTGGACTGTCTCAGCCATCTGAGACAGGGAGGATGTGTCCTTGTATCTGCCTGGACTAGAGAGGGGGCCTTGGCTCTCCCTGTACCTTGGCCCCTGTTTGGGCTGGGGTGAGGGTGCAGGGTGTGGCTCAGGCCTGGGCAGGGCTGTCTCCTGACCCTGGGGTTCCTCATCTTCCTTGCAGGTGTCAAACACAAAGGCCCCATGCTGAGCAGCAGCCTGATGCACTCTGAATCGGAACTGGACAGCGATGATGCCATTTTCACGTGGCCAGACCGGGAGAAGGGCAAGCTCCTGCATGGTCAGAATGGCTCTGTACCCAACGGGCAGACACCGCTGAAGGCTAGGAGCCCACGGGAGGAGATCTTATAGCTATCTGGTCTGTCTCCTCAGAGTAGGGATTGGTAGTGCCAGGGCCCAAGCACTGCCAGGCTGGTTCCCTATCACCCAGGTCCCAGGGCAGCTGATCTCCCAGTATATGATGGTCACTCCACCCCAACCCCCCACCCCAAAACTACTGGTACTTGAATCACAGACACTGTCCAGGAACCCATGAGCGAAGCTGTGAATGAAGAGATTTCCTCTTTGAACCTGTCTGGTAGGCCCCCAGAACATCCTCACCTCAGGGGCTCCTTTATTGCAAGTCCCTCTTCCCCACCCAAGGGCAAGTACGGCCTGCATCAGCATCCTCTGCAGCTGCCCTGTGGTAGTGCTACTGGACCCAGGGTGCTACACAGAACCAAGAGCCAACAGCCTCCTGGCTCCAGGGGCTCAATGGAGGGTATGTTCTTTCTTCTCTTCTCTGGGGCATAGTGGGCCCCCTGGCAAGGCCAAGAGGACGTGGCATCCCTGCCCCACCACAGATACTAGAACACTAGTGAGAAACAACGCCTGGCCCTCGGCACTGGAGCCTGCTCCCTTCTCTGATCAGCACTATCAGGAGAGGACTGGCTGTCTGGGGGTGATGAGGGGCCCTGGTTTGGGGGGACTTTTGTGACACAAGCAGTGTCCCCCTTTCTTCCTCTGACTGGCAGCTGCTGCTTCCAGGCTCAGGCCACCACTCTGTGTCCCTAGAGGAGATAGCCACAGACTGGAATGTTGTGGCATGAGAGTGCATGTGTGTGACTGTCCACTGTGGTCTCCCAGTCCCTCCATCTGTGTCTTTTCAATGTCTCTGCTGCACATGTGTGTTGAGTGAACGCGTGCGTATCTTCTCACCGGGCTCTTGGCTGCTCAGAAGGAAACTTTGACTCAGTCTCTCAGCTCCGTGAAACAGAGAGGAATCCCACTGGTTTCTGTCACTGTTCCTCAGACCTACTAGCTGGGAATTGAGGAATGGGAGCTTTGGGGGAAGGACTTCTAAAAAGAGATAATTTCTACTACTGCACTACTACTGTGTGTTGTAAGATGATTAAACATATATTTAATTGTGTGCCTACATCTCTGACCTGTGTCACAGGGCTAACCACGGTTGCAGCCTTCAAGCTCTTGCCCTTGGCAGGCAGTTTTGGACCTGCCATCAGCACATGTGACCCATGGTGCTGGGTCCTGCCTGCAATGGTGGGTGGGAATGCAGCACTCCTACACTTTGGCTAAGGGAGGTGAGTTTTTTGTTCTTCCTTCTCATACCTTTGTCCCTCTGTCTAAGCTAGGGGACCGAGTGTCCTAAGATCCAGAGTAAGACCTTAAGAAATTTTGGCCACTGCTATTCTCTTTTGTGTTAACCAGCCTTAAGTGTGTGTACTTCTCATAGTTCATGAAGCCCTTTGCTGGATATGTGAGAGAGGGGAAGGGCTGGGCTAAGAAAGGGAGATGAGAGCAAAGGCCACTGAACCTGTGCTTTGCCCAAGCTCTGTATAAAAACCAGCTGCAGGGGGGCAGCAGTGTCTCTGATCTTACAAGTCCAGAAGTTGAGTCATAGTGAGAAGTGGTTCAGTCCACACAAGCAGTGACTGAACTCGGGCTCAGTAGAGCCCCCTGCTCACACTGCTCAGGGCTTCTTCAGAAATAGTCCCTGGGTTAGGTCTGGGATGGAGCATGAGAATTTGCCTAATGATGTCCTAGAAGATGCTGAGCCCCCCCCTGGTGCAGGGCCCCAATCCAAGGACCTCTAGGTGAGAAATGCATGGTCAGCCTCTTTCTTGCGTGCGCACACACACGCAGAGCTGTAGCCTTTCCATCCTGAATGATGGTGGAGGGAGTAAGTACAGAGACCTCTATCTTGCCAAGGGGTGTACTCAAAGTGGGGCCAATCTGCTCAGCTGGGAATGGTAGGGCTGGATGATGCAGTGCTCCAGTCTGAATCGCCACAGCAGGTGGGCTCAGGGCCCAGTGGGCCATAGGGGGAGGAACCTGACAGAAAACATTGAGCCTATTCAGAGTAGAAACTATTCAATATTTGCAGTTTGGGCAACAGAAACAATGGAGCTGAGTGAGGCTTGCTGGAGCAGGTGAAGTGTAGGAAGGTAAGGATCTGGTGAGGCTGGGGCACTGTGAGCAGCCTCCAAGAATTCAGGAATGCTCTACAGGGTTCAAGTGCTCTGGCTTTCTTTCCCCTGGCCTGTCTGGTAAGCAGCAGGAGCTGCAGAGATCCTCACACACACTGAGAGAATATGCCTGCAGTCAGGCCACCAGTCTCCAAGATAGACTGAGGGAACAGCCTTGACACTTTTGTGGATTTGTGTTGATTGGTTGGAGGGCCCCTATATATTTCTCTAGCCAAACTTGGCCACTGCTGTAATCTTCCACTCCTTAACTCCCCATCTGATGATGGTGGCTACCTAGTGTCTATTAGTATTAGGCTGTGGCCATCCACTGTTGTGCCTCCTCTCCTACTTGGAGAGTACCCATAAGGCTCCCTTGGTCACAAGGAATGAAACTGAGGTTACCTCTCATGGGAACAAGGAAACTTTTATCCAGTTCTTCTTACTGCCAATACCCAGTACTTGTCTTGGCAAGTTACTGTGATGCCCTATTCCACCTTCCTGGCTGTGTTTTATTTACTCCACTTCTAATAAATCAACACATTCCTGTGCATTGACATTGGTGGTTCTCATGGACTTTTAGGAAACTTTTTTAAAGCACTGAGTCCTAGAACCTAAACCCAGATTTTTAAGTGTTTAACTGATCTTTATTAATTCCTTAGGTAATTTGTGCAGGTATACCACGTCCATTTGAAGGGAAAAAATAGCTATTAGCAGCTCAGCTTCAAAATACTTGCTACCAGTTGGAAGGAAGCTAACAGGCACCCAGTATCCCCTGATCAGCCCAGGAAAAGGCCCTTGAGATTAAGTGTGGCAGAGGTTGCTATTCATCAAACCCCAGAGCTTGTCATGTCCCCCACAACTGCTGACATGAGGTGATAGATCTTGTAGCCCAGAAAACCAATCTCACTTTAAATGCCCATTTCTGTGATCTTGCTTAAACAACTAGTTCAAAGCCAATGCAAAGGTGGTTAGTTCAAGCTTTGTGCTATAAATGGCTGCAGCATTTCAGGATTCTTCAACTGAAATACAGCTGCACTGAGAAGTTATTTTAGCCATATGCAGTAGTCACCCACACCCAAATCTTTGAGAACCCAGTGTCCTTAATGAATATTTTAAAAGATTCCCCCAAATACTGAGCCTCCCTCCCCAAGGAAATGGAGTTACCATATACCGGGAGGGGCTGGTAAGACATGAGAAGAGACGTGTGCTATTGCTGAATGGAGGACAATTGGTCAAGTTGCTGGTATCACTGAGACCCTATCAAGGCCGCCAAAGGCTCTGCCGGGATGGACAGGAGTGGGCTGGCGGATGACACCTAGGGATTGTGCCTCTCCCTGGTGCTGCTGCTTCCCAAAGACCTGAATCAGGTAAATCTCTAAGCAGTTGCTGGGCGATTGGTCAATCTCAACTCTAAGGTACCTGGAGGTCAAGACTTTCCCCTTGTTAAGCTTACTGGCAGGGTAGCACAGAGGTAACAGGCTAAAATACCCAGATGCCACAAGAGGAGTATGACCTCTGAGTCCCAAACAGCAACTAACATGGACTATCCAAACCAAGAATTTAAAATAAGGCAATATAATTAGGGAAATCCTAGCAATGTGAACAGGAACATGAACCAAGTGGAAACATTAAGTGTGAAAACATAGTGAATGGGTTGGGGGTGGCTCAGTGATAGAGCACTTGCCTAGCACGTGAGGCACTGGGTTCCAACCTCAGCGCCATGTCAAAATAAAAATAAAGATATTGTACGACCAAAAAAAAAAAAAAAGCAGCAAATGGGATAAAGAACAGATGAGAGCCAAAAACAGGGAGCTGGAGCATAATCTGGTGAAAATATGGGGTCACATGGTCTCACACATATGACTGTTTTAACTCGGTAATAAACACAAGTCTAAGGCATTTCTATGGAGAAGTGGCGGAGTCCAAGAGTGGGGCACTGAAAGGGTAAGAGGAACTAACAAATGCAAAAGAAAGAAAACACATGTCAAGTCAGAAAGACAAGCCTACCAGAAGAGGAGCTTCTTTTGGCTAAATCTAAGACAATGAGTTATCAAAATAAATAATCAAAGCTCCAGATTATAACTTAAAAAAAAAATTTTAGTTGTAAATGGACACAATACCTTTATTTATTTTTATGTGGTGCTGAGGTTGGATCAGGGACTACTGCTGATCCACAACCCAAGTCCCCTGATTATAATTTTAAAAAACCTTTTTTTTAGTTGTAGATGGACACAATTTATTTTTTATGTGGTACTGAGGATCAAACCCAGTACCCGACATACGCTAGGCAAGTGCCCTACCACTGAGCCACAACCCCAGGCCCACCAGATTATAACTTAATGAGTAAAATAGGAATCCATTATGTATATATGTACATATATGCCTACATGCATGTAATTGTGTGTGTGTGTGTTTGTGTAAGTATTTTTGTTTCTCCAGTACTGGGAACTGAACCCAGGGATACTCTAGCACTTGCTCTACATCTCCAGCACTTTTTTATTTTGAAACAGAGTCTTGCTAAACTGTCCATGCTAGCCTGGAAGTTGTAATCTTCCTTTCTCAGCTTCTTGAGTCCCTGGGATTACAAGTTTGCCATTTAACCTAGTTTCAGTGTGATTTTTTTTAAAAAAGATCTAAATTCTAGAGCAAAAATGATGGGGAAAACAGGGTCCCTATCAGACAAATATTAATTAAGAGAAACTGCAAAAGCAATGAAAAAAAAAAAAAGACTCAATAGGGGGTGGGGCGTGGGTAATTATCTACAGAAAAGAACAAAAGAACAAGAAAAGGTAAAGAGGATGGATATTATTATCTCCAACACAGTCTGAAAATAAAACAAAATTGCAGGTAGGAAAAGGGAGAATGGACAACTTGATTTTTTTAAAAAAGGAAATGAGAAAACACTTATAACAGACTAATAGTATCATCCTGTCTGAACCTGGACACAGTCAAAGCATGCTGACACAGAAAAATTCAGAAGTGAAATCATTTTTGGAAACAGAAGATTAACCATGAAGGAAGCAATCACTTGATTCACTTTTTTTAAAGAATGAACAACATGAGGGAAAAAAACAAAACAAGAAAAACAGTGAGAAAGCCAGAAAAACATGATGAAATACTTTACACTGACAAAATCAAATGCTGGCACTTTCAAGACATGAAAACTTGAGTAGACTAATAAACATTATGTAAATAAAAAGGCAAAGACTTTCTTTGGGGGAATTAGAAAAAATTAAAAGGTTTAAGGTTTTCCAACACTTAAGAAATTTTATGTAAGTTCTTTCACCAAATGAAAAAAAAACTAAAACCTGCCCAGATCTTTAACAGTGATTACAAAACCAATTAAGAATTCAAGAGAAAAAAAAAATTTACTCTTGACTGTGGGTGCAAAAGCACAATTATTAACTATCTAAACCTAACAGTATATATTTTTTAAAAAATCAAGGAGGGTTTATTAAAGGAATTCAAGAACGACTTCAACATTAGCATATTAATTCACATGCTTTAAACAACAATAAAGGAGAAAAAGAACTATTATTATAATAGATGCTCTTCCAAAGCATTTGATAAATTCATCACTTATTAAAAAAGAAAGACCCATAGCAAACCAGGAATAGTAGGGAATATCCTTAACTCGATAAAGTTATGTATCAATTAGTGTGTATACATGTAGAGATACATATAAAATATGTCATGATCAATTAGGACTTAATCAAGGAACACAGGCTTAATATTAGAAAAATCCACTAACATAATTCACTAAATAAAAACTACGATCTTATAAAGAAAAAAGTGTTTGATAATGTTCACATTTTATCTGATGAGGGGTAGGGTGGAGATGTAGAAAGCAATCAGACTTAAATTGCTTTCCAGGTGGATATATAAGTCTGTATTTACTTTTGCCCTGTGTAAGGTTTTGTAATTTGCCTTTACCACTAAAACATTGACATTATCCATTATTCTATTTTAGGCCAGTTTTTAGGGTATAAAATGACAGCTCAAAAAACTCCAGTAGAGCACTCGCCTAGCACATTCGAGGCCCACATAAAAATAAATAAAATAAAGGTATTGTGTTCAACTACAACTAAAAAATAAAAATTTAAAAGCAGCAGCAACAACAACAACAAAAAACTCCAGCAAACTCTCCATTATGGAGTTTTGAGCGTCTCTTCATGAACTGTTAAAACCCTTTTAGACTTTATATTATAAACTATCATTATCCTTTGTTCGTTCAATATTCTTGGACTCAGTATATTTTTTGTATATGCTAGATATAAAACCACTGGTTGCTTTCAACATTGCAAGATCCTAAGTCTTTATCCTTTACTGAATAAGAATCTTTAATTTTGACATAATAAAATTAATCTTATTTTCCATATGTGGTTTGTGCTTTGGGGGATTTATTGTTTGTTGATGCATCTAGATCACAATGATATTCTATATTTCCTAATATTTTTTTAAATTTACATTCCACTTTTAGTCTTTAATCCATCCCACACTTTTGCATATGATGCCAGTAAGGAATTTTGTTTTATTTTCCTCCATGTAAATGCTAGCTTTCCAACACTATCTACTAAAACTCAGGGAATTCTTGTGTATTACTATAACTATGTATTACTGTAACTAAGGTACTTTTATACTTTTACTTTTTGTTTCTACTGTGAATAGTTTCAATTATATTACCTAATAAGGTTACTGCTCTTATAGAAAAATGCTTGAAATGCTTATGAATCTATTTTCTATTTAATGAAGGTAACTTGAACTGTTTTAATAGCTTGTGGATTCTCCTTTTTTTGTCATAAACATCTAAAAATACTGATTTTAAAATAATGAGTTTTATTCCTCACCTTTCAATATTGATAATCTTTTTCATTTATTTTTTTCTTTCACTTATGATCAGAACTTCCCATTCTGTGAAGCAGTCATGGGACAGCGAGCATAGTGGATATATTAGGACACTGGTTTAGCTACTTTAATAGAGACCAAATAACAATGGCTTAAGTAAAATGAAAAGTTTCTTACGTGAAGGCCTGACCTCAGAGTCAGTTCAGGAGAGAAGTGGCTCTGTCCATGAGGTGAATGTGCTTCTGGTACACATCCCTTTCCTTTGTGGAAAAAAACTGGTCTGTTACAGCCATAGTCACTTTCTAGCCTACAGAAAAGGGGAAACTCAGAACGACTACATGCATCTTCCTTTAAAGATGTGGCCTGGTAGTTGTAAACTCACTTCTGCTTCCATTCCACTGGTCAAAACTAAGTCCAGCAGTCAATGTTTATCATAAATTTCTTCCTTTTTTGCAATATAATTAAGTACATCAATGGATTTTTGAGATGCTGATCAATACTGATGTGCATACAAGCACATGAGTAAGTACTTTTATTACAATATTTATTACAATATTTAATTATGCTTAATATTTGATTTAAAATATGTAGAACTGATCATATAGAGTATTAAGTTTGCAGAATCCACAGTACTGAACTTAATGAAAGACTGCAATATGGGAACTAACATTTAATTGAAGTCTTAGATTTTTTTTTATTTTAACATACAAATTGCATTACATACTGACATTTAAAAGCCTACCATGAACCAAGCAAAACCAAAGGAGTTGTTATTATTTACCCTATAAATGAGAAAACTGAGGCAGCACAAATTGTATACAATTTACCTAACATTGTATACAACCAGCAAGTGGAAAAACTAGATTCCAAAACCCTGTGATTGTTCCACTACGTAACAATGCCTCACAATTAAAATTTTCTTCAATGATGGTAGTAACACAGTGTGATGGTAATAAATGAAAAATATAGAGGAATTGGAGGTATTATTATTTCTCAATGCCTTTTCTAAAATTTTTGTATATGCTAGATATAAATCCACTAGTTGTTTTCAACATTGCAAGATCCTAAGTCTTTATCCTTTACTGAATAAGAATCTTTAATTTTGACATAATAAAATTAATCTTATTTTATTCAACTCAGCATTGTAAGGGAACTTTTTATTCACTAAAATAAAACTAAAAATCTGAATTTAATTGAAAACTGATTTCTTTATAAAAATTCATTTACTTTAGACTTTTTGGGGGGAAAACTCCCATTTTACAAAACTGGACTGTCACAAGGCAGATAGAAATGGTCTACATGCAATTTGGAGGCATAATTGTAGTTACAAGAATGCCATTAGTTTTTCATTCTCATATTAAGTGTTTTTATGTTTACTTAGGAATGAATAGATTCCTAATTCTAATCTCGAAATTTCAAAATCACTGAAGATGACTGATGAAAGTTTTGTACTCATCTAAAAAAAAAGAAAGAAAAAAAGGCAGAAGTGAAATATATGCATACCTTATATTTGTAGATGTTGGGGTTTTGAACACAGCCAATAAATAAACTAAAAAGTGGAAACAAGTCTTTTGATGGAAAAACGTGCAACATTATTTGTGAACTAAATAAAACTCAAATTTAATTTCTTTTCTGAAAATTGCTCTTTTTCTTGGTGGTTTTACTATCTGTTGGGTCACACCAATACGGTCAAATACAAAAATGTACTGAAAGTTGCTTGAAGACAAAGAAAAAGAATTCATCCGCCAAATACAAATATACTGTTTTATTCTAAGGGAATATTTCTGTGGTTTCTGCAAAGGGAAAACCCAAAGTGTTAAAAGGCAAAAGAACAGAAAGGATGCTTGAGATGTTTCTTTTTTTGTTTGATAGTTTTTTTCTCTCCTGAGGGGAAAATGTAATTTTATACAATTTTAATAAAATAAGCAAACAATTGGACATATCAACAGCTATGCTTACGAGCAATGACCAATGATTAATCATATTTTCCTTACGAATTAGTTCAGGGTTCTGAGTGACTCTGTACTAACATGCAGTTGAAATCCTGATACAGTCATTTATCTGGGTATTATTGGTTGTTTTCAGTTAAAAGATACAGATTTTTTCCTTTTGGGTATTACAATTTATCTACTATGTGCTAACAGTATTTGTTTTTCATACAACTACAGAGACAGGGAAAATGTTAGTGTTTATACAAACCATAAAATTCGTATAGTGGGACTATTACACCTGATGTTTCTGGATGGTTTTATTGGCAGACTTATCAGACAATCCAATTGTTTTCCTCCAGTGGAACAAGGTCTAGAAGTAGGAAGTTTTCCAGTCAGAAATGACACACACAGATGTAATTAATCATACAGAATCAGGGCAGATTTACTTCTTTCACACAGTTCTTAGTAACAAAAGTGAGATTTGTTACAGGCAGGGGGATAGAACCATCAAGTACACAATGTCAAAAGGCCCACTTTTAATTCTGTTAAATGACTTTCATTTATTAAAAAAAAATACACCTGCCATCCCCACCTAAAATATGGGACATACTGTAAAGGATTTCAAGATTAAACTTTCTAAGAAGATTTTTTTGACTTCTCTCAGTTTTATCATAAGGTCAAATAAACCTTGGCTAAAGATGTTCTATTGACTGGCCAACATCATAAAAGCTTTGATTTCAAAATTTTGTACCAAAGAACTGAGAATTTTGATGAGGGACATAGACTGATATGGCCACACACGCCTATGACTTGCAATCCTCATAGATCTACTAAAACAGCTAGAGTTTGGAATAATGCTATAAGAAGACAGTCAATGTCTGAATCCTAACCCCAGAATCCCTATTTTCAAGTTTCCTAGGGCAACAAGGTCATCTTTTAAATGCTTTACACAAGAACCTACCGAGACCTTTTCTACCATAATTCAGATAGCTAAGTAATACTGTGTCTCTGGAACTGCCCATGGGTTTGCCAGACAAAGTTCAGGAGAGAGACTATACTTTTTGAAATGACAAGGGCCTCCAAAAACTGATGCAAAAGACAAAAAAAGAGGAATCATTTGGGAAATAGGAAGGTAAAACAATGGAAGAAAAGCTGCCACTGGGGAAAAACAAAAACAAATGGAGAGCCCCATTTCTGTGTACCACAGCTCAAGCTATGAGACAGCAGCAATAAAGGCCTGCACCCAGAGAAGTGGGCATTTTAGTGGGTTCTTTACAAACATTTCAAGACACTTGGGGTCTAATGGGCTCCACAGATCTTCTGTGTGCATAATTAGTTTGTGGAATATCATCCCCTTTACCTTTATTTACCCACCTTGAGACCCATAGATGAGAAAGCTAAACCCAGAAGGTGAAAGGGACACATCACTATTAATAGGAGTGAAGGTCATTTTCCCTGATATGAGGGGCCCCTGGTAAAAGCATCAGAGGCTTCTATCCTTCACATAATTGGCTTGGCAGTGAAAATCAAAATCAAGACCACTTCACTAACATGGAAAAAAAGTTGTGTATTTTTATTGGGTCTTCAGGTCTGGGTCCCCCAGTCCCATCTGATGTCACTCTCAGCTTTGTATTGAATTCTCCCCTGACTTTACCAAGGTCTTGCCCAAGTAGCCAAGGTCTCACTCCAAAGCTACCTCTCTAAGGTCTAAGGTTACTATGGTAGAGTTTTATACAATAGTTTTCCTTAAAAATATTCCACAATTTTGTTATTCCCAAACAAAATAAGATTATGCACCACTCAGAGAAATTGGTTAGTCATTCTGAAGATGTCTAAGAACTATATCACTGCCAAAGAACATTTCTCAGTTCAAATTCTTTCCTTCAGTTTTCATTTGTACATCCACACTGTGGATCAACTGTTTCCCATGTCTCATAATTGAGTCAAGAGGACTTGGGCTTAAACATTGCTTTCCAACAGCTAGATGCGTTCACAGTTTGGTGCATACCAATGTGTATGAAAATAGGAACCTCACTTCCATTTTAATCTGATAGTTCAACATCAGAGTCTTCAGATTTGGCTTTGGCAAGTTCTTCATGTACCTCCCTCACCATGAGAATACGTGTTAACATGGTGTCCAGGGTACCAGGGTCTATTGGGAATGTGGAGTACCACATGGGACTATTCGGAACACAGGAGCGCTCAGGCTGAAGGTAAAACACATCATTCCTCTGCTTCACACTTTCAGAACTATTCATAGAGGGGGAAAAAAAACAAAGAAAATTAAAGATTAGAGTTCAAGAAATATGAACTATTCTTTAATATAATGGCTCTTAACTTTTCCCGATTGTGACTCATATCATAAATAACAACTATCCAGAGGAATAAGAAGGTTTATAAGCATCTTCCTGCCAGAAGTAATCTGTAACTTCACGCCTTTTCTTGAACACTCAAGAAGTCTCACCAATTGGATGTTGAGTACATAAGAAAAAATGTAAATCACAAACTTGAGTCCTTAAGACATTGTTAGAAGCAACACAAGTCAACTCATATGTAACATTACAGCTGAGAATCACACATCCTAAGTGTCCAGTATCCTAAAATGAAACCCTAGGATACTTAATATCATAAGTCAAACAACAATTATTGTTTCTTTGAGAAAAAGTGCCTTAGTGTATGGTTTACAATCATAAGGTTTCTCTAAAACAAAGGGCCAAAAAATATCTCAATTCCTTAAATATCATCTTTGTATTTGTAGGTTTAGTAAAAGAAGCTCTCCTTAGAATTTCTTTCCTACATTAATAATAAATTACTATATCCCACAAAGGTTGGGCAACACTTGTGAAGATCAAGTAACAGCAGTGATTCTTTTCAAGATTTTTTTTTGGGAAAAACATCAAAATAAGGTGGTTTCTTTTTTGGTTCAAAATTATAACTATAAACTCTAGAATGGAGGGGGGGAAAAACTGAGAGGTTAAATCTCCCCGCTTA